CTACACATGGCATACAGATGAAAGCAAGATTGAAAATCTAGTACCAGATTTTAGCAATGCACCTGAGGTATTTTTGGCCATTCTTATTCTCTTAGGGTACAATAAGGTTCCTCACAGAAGACTACTGGAGTGAGTTACCTGACACCCAAAATAAATTTGTTATGAATGCAATGAGACAGGATGCCTTTGATCAACTAATGAGATGCTTGTGCTTCTGCGATAATACAAAAATGAATGACAATCGATTCTACAAGGTGCATCTGCTTTTTGAACACTTGAACAATGCTATCAAAGATGAGAAATGTTGTGAATACTACAGTGTTGATGAAGTAATGGTTCTATATTATGCAAGACATGGTGATAAGCAGTATATTAGAGGAAAACCAGTGAGATTTGGGTTCAAGCTTTGGGCAATCAGCATGTCTGATGGGATTCTATGGCATGTTGAGCCATATTGTGGTAATCATTCCAGGATTTCGGATAGGGGTTTTGGTTTAGGTGGTAACGTTGTGCTAGAAATGATTGAAAAAGTGAATATGAAAGCTGCACAGCATGTTGTATTTGACAATTTCTTTGGTTCAGTTTCATTACTAGAGGAGCTTGCACAGAGGAAAATTGCTGCCACTTGTACTTTGAGAGAAGACTGATTATCTGGTACCCCACTAAAAAAGAGAACAATTTTGGAGAAAGAGGAACTAGTGGAGAAGCATTCACAGGCTGCATCTCAGTTGTAAAGTGGAAAGACATCAAATTGTTGAGCATTGCCTCCAACAAACTTCATGCAGATCCTGCAAAAAAAGCAAAATGGTGGAATTGAGTGACCAGGAAACATATTTATGTTGACCTATCACACTCAATCTACATCTATAAATAATATATTTGGTTCTTTATCATCTCATATATCATCAAGTTGGACAATCGGAGTGATTACTCTTCCAATTTTACGTTATGGTCCAGATATATATAACTTATCATTTTATCAGGTTGACACTGAGTGTCTTAATTGGCATGTGACTAGGTTCTCGTATGAATAGGTTTCGGCAAAAATAGTACAGTGAGAGGGTTGTAATGAAACACTGGTACATTTCATATTGAATTGGTAAATTCAAGTTAATATCCTAGGTTCACAAAAAATCTCTAGTGAATGAAATAAAGAAAGTCCTAACACAATCAAAATTAAAAACCTATCACTTAACATCATTAAATTTTCTCTATTTACCAGAAACATTGATCTGTTGCAATTCTGCTGAGTAGATGACAGTTGTTGACAACCGTATAATACACGCACACTTTGCGGCTGAAGGTTCAGTGGCCATAGCGCTACTGTATTCTTGCGTTTACAGCCGTATTCCAAGGGGCTGTACTGCAGCTGTAGCCGCTCGTCCTTGCGATCGCTATTCTTCATAACCATTGTCTCCCTGATCTAGATGCCTCATGGTCAGTCTGGCCGTAGATATCTTATAGGTTTACTGCGGTTGAAGGTTGTGACCGTATCGTTTCTTGTGATGAGAACTATAACCATACTGATGACCAAAATGATGATGATGAAGACTCAAAAACTTGAATCTCCTGATGAAGGGCGTTATAATTGTGGTACAACTTGCGGCCCTCTTGCATTGTCTCACGGCTGAGTTGTAGCCCTAGTGTTGATGTTTATTTTCTTGACTGCTCACAGGACTCATAGCTGCCCCAATAAGTCTAGGTTTCTTGCGACTGTCAATGTTCAAAAATGGCAAAACTGCTGGCTTCACGGCCGCGGCCGTTACAAAGTCCACTGACTGCAGACCGTGTGCAACAGTCACCTCCGTTGAGCAGCCTTTGGCGCCAATTTTAAGGTCCTTATATAGGCAGCAGTCATGCACCGTGTAAGTCTATCCCTCTAAGTGAACCGGGGCAGTTATGAAATCCGCAAGGGTCAGCCATTTGATGCTCTCGCCATTCCCAACTATAAACAACCCTTGGTCTCACGGTCTTGAGAAAAAAAAGCACCTTGTACAAGCTTTACACAGTTCAACCCAAATTCCTGTAACCTTCTCAACACTTCACTCTGGCTCTAACTTCCAATAACTTTCTTAACTTAAGTTATTAATTCACCCTCAACTATGTTCTATACAGTATAATTTAAATTAAATCAGAATTACTGACGCTCTAATCAAACGCAAGTATCTGCTGAGTAAATCTAATAAATCAGAAGATCCTTGAAGATGAATAAAGAAAAAATGCAATATAAAAATTATTGTGGCCCCTAACAAGATAATGAAAGGAACCTATTATAGCTTAAACCTGCAGCGGGGATCTGCCAAATGATAATGATTAATGAGAAAATTGTGAAAGCAACTAACTTCCTAATGGTGTTGCCAAGGTAAAGGAAATTTTTTATAAAGTAAAACTTGCAAAATGTCTAACACTCCAAGTCGCTACTCAACAGAACATCGTGCAATTCTATTATCGGCAGTACTTGTTTGTTCTTGGCTCATGGCAAAAGGGCACCCAACACCTGGTCTTGGTGGTAGGTAAAGATTCCATCAGTCCAGGATTGAACTCTAAAAATTATGGTTCATATATTACTTTCAATCCATATGGGCCAGTATTTTGATCCAAAATTTTAAGTTTGAAAAGTTAAAAGGCTGTGTTCAATAATTTGAGAATAAGCCATAGGTACTACTTTAATGCCATACCTATGATGTAATCACTTGAAATTTCAAACAGACGTTTGACTAATTTCTTTGGACTGATAAGATGTATTATTTAATTAAAAACAATTGAAGATAATAAACTAAGCTCAAATGAAATGATGTCTCATGCTGCAACACAGAATTTGCTAGCCAAAATCTCAATGCTACCCAAATGATCTCTGCACCCTGCAGAGATTATACACCTATTATAATCTATTGTATCTATTCAGCTGATTATAAACCTTGGCATAGTGGTGGGAATATATCTACTGAGCATAACTTCAAAAAGTCACTCATCTTCTACGTCTTAGCTGACATTTTGCAACCAATCAAGCAGCCTAGCCAGTTAACCATAAGCTTTGAAAATATAGACATAAGCTTTCAAAATTTAAATAGTGAACTTTTTGAAAACTTTGTAGACATGTTCTATTTGAACTGAATACATAAACTGGAAAAAAATTTGGCATATCTTTTTTTCATCTCTTTTTTTTTTTTGCTATAATTTCAGAATTAATTAAATTTGAATTTTGTACATCAAATGGAGAAGAGAAAACAATTTGGCTTAGGAGCTTCTGCATCTGCTTCCAAAGAACCTAGGTAATTGATTATTTTATTGAATGCATGTATTTTTGTTTCATCTAGTTATAATGCATGGATTTCATTAATATTCATCTTATAGAAGTAAGTGATCGTACAAAATTTTATCAATTTTCTGTTCACCAATTAGCATAGGTATATGTTCACCCTTCCCTTGGACTGTCTACACTCAAAATATTTACTACAGAACATTTTTAATTTTCTTAACAGAATTATTGGTTTAGTGAAGATGTAATAGAAAACCACTTCTTTTCAAGTTTTAATAATAATCAACTTTCTCATCTATAACCAATTTTAATGTATTAATAAAGTAGAGTTAATTGTTTTTGTATCAAAATTTTAAGTACAGAGGTTAAAGAAAATTAGGGAAATGTCTGAAAAATTCACAAGATATATTTTAGTATGGTGTAGGTCCACTTTTCATGGCAACTACAGCCTCAATTCTCTGAGGCATTGATTAAACTAAATTGTGAATCATTTCTAAATTAATTTGAGTCAAATCTTGTGAAAACTCCTTCCAGCTCTTTTTAGGAAGGTGGCAGGAATCAACTTCTGACTTGCATCTCTAAAATTGGCCATAAATGCTTAATAATGTTCTGGGCTGGTGATTGTGGTGGCAAAATGAGATGCTCAACTTCAATAGAATGTTCCTTGTGCCATTCTTTAACAATTCCAGCTGTATGTATTGAGGTATTATCATCTTGAAAGATGGCATTCCCCTCTGGATACAGTGCTTGAACCATTGGATGAACTTGTTCCTCCAAATTTCCTAAATAGTCACGAGTCATGACTGTTGATTCTTCCATGAAGAGAAATCATTGATCTACCAGAACTTCAAGAAGTAAAACCCCAGATCATCATGCAATTTAATTAAGCTACAGACTGTCTCTCAGACAACTTTGACTTTTGGCAAGACCTGTGCTTTAGTGGGGACGTTTTTCCTTCTCTTTCAAAAGCAGTCATTACTTCTGAGACAGTACCTCTAGAAACGTCAAGCATTCTGGAAGTTTCTGTCACACTAGCACTTACCATACAGGCAACAACAATTTGGCCTCATTGAAAGTCAGAGAGGTTTGCCATTTATAGGTTATAAATTAGGTTATAGATACAAAAATATACTAAAATATCTGCAAGGATAAAATGTCAATTTGCCAAAACAATAAACCACAAAACATAAAAATATGCCACATTTTCATTCTTTATAACATGTCTAAAAATTATGATATCAAAATGTCAGGAGTTTCCCTTACTTTGTCCAAACCCTGTATCTCCTATTGTGTTGTATTTGCATAACTATTTTTTGACCCTTTTTAGGTCTACCAATGATGATGAGGATTATGAGATGAATGATTTTGATGACATGGACCAAGACTACCCAGATGATGATGATGATGATGATGATGAGCTGGACCAAGACTACCCAGATGATGATGAGCTGGACCAAATTGGAGCTGCTGCATACAATTTTGAATCTACTTCACCAGTAGGTTCAATAATTACAAGCATCCTAGAATAGTAGAGGACCTAGTAGGGCTACTGTATCATATTTTAATAATTTATGTGACAGTTTCTCTTTTTTATTCTTATCGTGTTATTCTTATCTTAATTTGGTGCTTTTTCAGTCTTAAAATAACGTCTTGCTATTATTTTCTCCCCTGCATTGATGCAATTCATTGTGTTGCACTTCCATGTCTTGTTTAATAATTAAATAAAACAGCAGGTGTATTTCAGCAGCTGGAAATAGACCATTACATTGGTGAGAACGAGAAATTGTTTGCATTATGCCAGAGATAGAGCAGCTGGAAATAGACCATTACATTGGTGAGAATGAGAAATTGTTTGCATTATGCCAGGGATAGAGCAGCTGGAGTATTTCAGCAATTGGAAATCGACAATTCAATTTGCAATAACAAATTGAAATAATTTGCATTATACCAAAGAAATGCCAGCTAGCATAGATACATTTACATTTAGTATAAGTTTTAATTAATTATATTGATTACTAAGTTGAAAATTTTATTTCAACTGGTACTAAGCTGAGAGAAATTTCTTTGACAAAATTTTAATATTATTTTAAATTTTAATGGCAGAAGCACACTAGGCTTGTTGAGCCCACATGCAAAAAGTCTCAGTGGAAACATCTCTGAGATTTTGTAGGAAAAAATTTTTTTTTTTATTCTGATAGATCTTAGTCAATAGGTTTAGTTTCTATTTAAATCAACAAACAAAAAAACAACTCATTGCAAAACTTGAATAATGAATTTACAAATACACTGTAAGAGTAAAATTTATCTAATCTATAGGTTCCTTGCTGCAGTAAATACTTCATGGGAAATTATTTCTATATGATTTTGCATATCAGAAATCATATTTGTGTGTCTGAAAAATTTTTGCAAAGCCCAATCTTCCTTCATTTTATTTTTCCAAAATAACTTTTTAAAAATTTGTTTGTTCTAATAGTTTTGCATGATATGAATGTATTAACATTGATTTCATGCTTTAATTATTTAGATTCATTTGCAAATGGTTCAGTTATACACGTTAATAATCAAAGTTAAATGTGATGATATAGTACATGCTATTTTAAATATATATATACCTATATATTGTTACAATTAAGCTCTAAATTAAACATTGCTCTCTCTTTATCCTTGTGTCTGAACATAAATGCTTGATTCCGATCATGTTTCTTCTCCAATATCTTATTTTCCTTAGTATACAAATTGGTATAATAATTTCAACAATATACATCAAACACTCGCTCAGACATGCTTCTCTCCCGACAAATGACGTGATTTGTTTCTAGGTTTTCACAATGACAAAAAAGGGACTCATTTAGATTAATATTCAGGGAAAATGTTACGTTGTTTATAAATTTTTGTTTATTCATCAGTAAAAAATTTATTTTGTAGAACAAATTCCTATTCTGAATTTTTTGTAAGAAGTTGTTTATATTTTTACAGGCAATGCTCGGAAGGACATGCCTGGACAACAAGCTGGTCGGGTGCCCATCATGCGTATGTTTGGCGTCACAGACAACGGCAACTCAGTGTGCTGCCATGTGCATGGCTTCAGTCCTTACTTCTATGTCAAATGTCCACCTATATTTAAGGAACAGCATCTTGCACCATTCAAGGTTTCGATTAAATGTGAAATTCGGTTTGTTGTTATTTGATGTTATTTTATTATTACAACACTTCATTTGATCTCATATTGTGGTCACACTTCATTTGGTCGTTTGTTCATATCTGGTCTCACCCCACGGTCTGCTACTAATCTTATCATCAATATTTAACACACTTCCACCTGTCCAATCGATCTGGAATTCTGCACACTTGCGTAAAGTTGGAGACAATGCACGAATCAATGACAGAATAAAAAAATTTGAAAATTCAAAATATTTCCATATATATATAAATATAAAAATTTGAAAATTATTTTTGTAATATTTGAAAATAAAATTAGAAATTTATTGTACATGTTTAACATCGGAGACCTTGGATTCTTTAGAAGTGATGTCTTTAAAAAGTAATTTTTAAACGCATATTATTTTTTCAATCTTTCTCTCTGGACGAGTAACTCGATAGATTTATTTGTTAGGTCGGTTTAGCCGGAGTGGCTGTAATGGCGCGTACTTGTCCTCGATTCGTACAATCACGAGTTAACAAAAGTAAGAATAAATACACATAGAAAGATTTAACACGACCTATATTATGAAATTCCGGTACAGACCTAAGTACAGAAATTGGGCGCAGTTATTGTCAAGAGCACGAAATAACGCTGGACTAGTTGAGACTCGCATCGACAGAAATATAAGAACTACGTAGTACCCAACTTAAGTTTCCCAAACTGGTACATCACCGGGGTTCGGGACGGAGGCACCGGACAAAGATATGGCTGGTAGACGTCGCCGTCACTTGCTTCGCGTTCAAATGGCTTGATATACGCGCTTAGCTTGCTGTCTCGGCCGGTCTAATCGTAGCATTTATGAGGAACGCACTTCGGAATAGAGGCGAGGTTTTGGTGTTACTCCACTCTTGTTGCCATGTTACTACTGCTGGTGATGAGGGTGACCTAATGTGGCTGGTGAAGATAAAACGTCTCGGTGGTTTTCTTGATGCGACAGTGCTAGTGCAGACTCTCGAGCTAACAGAGGCCGTTTGCTGGTGCACGGCAGGTTTCATGCATAGCTAATGACGAGCTAGGCTGATTGATCGCAGTCCGTTGGTTACAAGTCGAGCTAAAGTCAGGGCATGAAGTGATGATATGATGTAACACTCAGTTTTGGACGATCATTACACTCTGGGCTATTCGCTTCAGAATATGGTGATGTAAAGCTCTTGATATATAAAACAAAATGATGTCATGGGCTGGTTACTGACGGCAGGATTAATCGCGGCTGATTGGTGGCCTTACGGAAATATGCTAGGCGTTCATTTCAGGGCTGATTTGTGTACAATATTGATGGTGCACGGCTGTGCTCCCGATTCCGCGCCTAGAGGTCCGTAAACGGCTGAAGTCGGAATGATGCTGGACCGTTGGACGGTTGAGCAGTTGTTTTAGAAGAGTCTCATCCAAACTCGACCGTTGTGGTAGCTTCCCGAAATCGTCGCTCTAACGCATATTCGAACTCCTTTTGTAAAGCTTCTGCCGGCTGGAAGTTCAACACTACTCCAACCACCAACTTGGTCAGGACACAAGAAAGACTGCTGGCTCTAGCCCCGTATTGCCAACTTTTTTCTCTGCGAGAATACCAGATTGCCTACCTCAAAATACCAGAAATTCTATGGTTCAAAAACAGATTAATACCCCAAAATTTGATTAAACTATTCGTCTGAAACGTTGTTTAAAAAAAAAAAAGAAAATTAATTTTTTATCTTTTTTACTGTGCATTTATCTGGTTTTACGAATAATTAGCCAACTTGAACACGTTATATTTTTCACTCTGCTTGTAACATTTCGACACTTTTCTTTTCCTATGTTTGATTACATTAACACTTTTTATCACAGTGTGGCACTTCTTCCCCTTTTTTTATCACAGTGTGGCACTTCTTTCCTTTTTTATCACAGTGTGGCACTTCTCCACCTTCACTCAAGATGAACAAGCTACGAAAACAGGTCATCTTCATCTTTCTTATTTTCGTACATGCTTGCATATTTCATTTATCTAAAATTTCGAGTGTGATCACTTGTTGCGGCTGAGCAGATAACTTTTGGTCCGAATAACGGATTTCAGTACCTTAGTTGAAATTCTATTTTGTTGCTTGTTTTTTTTTTTCACATAAGTCACTTGCTCGTGAAAACACTCTCTCCATGAAAACATTGGAGACTGGTAAAAGTAGACAAGTGATGCAGCAGTCAGCCATTTTCATGAATGGGTGATAATTTTCAAGATCAGTGAAATATTGAATGACACCCCAGAATTCAAGTGGCACTCCAGAGTTCAAAACCACTAAACAAAAACGGTGGAGCTTGCGTCGCAGAGATCGGTTCGACAACCTTACTCGTCATAGGCCATATCATCACCGATCAGTAATCAATTAAGAAGAACTCTCGTGCTTATACTGCGCTAAGCACTTTTTTTAGATGTTAACAATTAGATTGGGATTATTACATCAGGCGGCAATTTCGCGGTTCCAAACATGGCGGGAAATCTCTAGTCGCGTCGCTTTGAAGGTAATCTATATAAAATAATAAATTATAATCCAAGCCTATGATGGGGGAAGTTCAAACTTCAGAGATGGAACTACTGCAGTAAATCTGCAGCAAGTCAGAATTAGCAGAAAAATACCAGATTTAGGCAAATAACTAGATCTAATATATTCATACCAGACACCGTCTGAAAATACCAGTACAGAAATATACCAGGTGGCAACGCTGCTCTAGCCGCAACGTAGCGCCGCTTTAATTTTTACCCTAAAACCCCCAAAGCTTCCCCCCATGAACAGAAACAACCGTTTCGCCTTAAATCTTGCTATTGACATTCTTCCCCCAAATCACACCCTAATTAACATTCGTAATTCCTACTCTAATCATTTCTGTTCAACTTTTTCAATGCCAACCGAATAATTTAACATTAATCATTAATGTCGGTATATTTTAAATCATATTGCCCACAACTCCTACTTGCTATACACGGTGCACAATGTCCGACGCATCACCTGTCACCTGTAAAGCCACTTTCACCCACGACGTGAAATACCCCATGCGTCAAAAAACACGCAACGGTATTTCACGTCGTACCTCGGTGGGCATACGTAATCTTCACTGCTATCCACACACGACGGCTTCTAACGCAGCGTCAAATTTGACGCATGCTGCCTGCGTGTGTTCTTCCAAAACTGCTGCGGTATTTGCCGCAACAGTTTAGCTTGCAATTGTATTCACTTTAATCTTTTACACTGTGCGACTTTTGACGCACATCCTAGTCTGATACAGACAGCGAGTAGTCTGGTAGAGACAACAATTTGTCGAAACTCTCTGCTGACATACGGAAATAATTAAAGAATTGGTTTTCATCTCCTCTTAATTTTCCAAATAGTTCTCTCCCTTTGGGTCTTAAATGTACTATATGGTGAACCCAGCACCGCCTTCTTTTCCTCCTTTGCTGTCTTTTATGCAGTAAGTACAACAAAAGAGCCGTCTTTTTTTACTTAAGAGCAGCCATTTATATAGAGCTCGCAAAAACTGCTCTCCACTTTCGGAGAACAGCATTGCAATACTGATAGATTCAAGAGTAAAAAGCCTCCTCGTGTGAATGATTGTGCTGCAAATACCGTTGCGTGCTTTCTGACGCATGCGGCATTTCACGGTGTGTTTGAAAGAGGCTTTAGGCAAATAGTATCTCACGGTCCCTAATTTATTTCGTAGACACACAAAATCAACACCCTACAAAGTCCTCTTTCGGTACTTCGCTTACATCCGTCTTAATTACTAGCACCCCCTTTTCTAATCACCTGTAGATACTATCTTCACACGATCCGGTACAGCTCATCAGCTAATCCCAGTTACTCACTTCTGATCCTTCTCTCTAGTTAGGATCGGCACATAATAAACACCCTAAAAAAAATCAGCTTCCTCCCTACACATCCCATCCATCGCTTCCATCTTCAAAATAATCCACACTTAACCCAGTTATATATGGTGCTCGAATTTATCGCCACCTGGCTCAGCTATGGTGATTTGGCCTCAAAATAATCGTATGGCTCTCCTGGTTTACTGAATCTTACTACCCTGCTTTCTGTTCTTCCCTATAACACCCATTTTCACAAAATTCAGAGATTTACTGAACTGAAGTTATAATAATCTTAGCCTCAGTAATAATCGCCCCTCGTATAACTGCTGTGCAGTTGACACCTCCCTGAACATTCCTTCCAATCTGTATATATGTAAAAAAATACCCCCATGCCATGGATTAAGTTTAATCCCTTGTAGATTTTATCATAAATTTGTACCGGCGTCAAACTTACCCGCGGTTAACGTCACTACAAATGTATACCGCACTTCTCTGACTCACTAAAATTATCAATTGTGGTCTAACTCCTTATCGCCCGAATTTGCCGCCTAAAAAGTACGATAATAATACTCGGACCATCAGCTGCTTAATGAAAAAAATAACACTAATTTAGTTTCCCTGAAATAAAAACTTCGTTGACTTAACTCAGTGGTTCCCAAACTTTTCCAGGCTAGCGCCCCCTTTGGCTCCCTAGTGAATTTTTAGCGCTCCCCACAGACATATAAAAACATACGCCTCTTTCTTTAAATTTAGAACGCTACAATTTCAAAAGATAAAGGTTAAACACAAATCTGTATTTCACAAATAGAACCCCATTTAGTGAACCAATATGTTTTTCAGCTGTTTTAACTGTTTCTGCACTGTAAACCTAGGACGTCTCGGGCAAATTTACGGCCGGACTCGTGGCCGATCTCCAAATTCAATTATCAAGTAATATTTCTCAAACTAATGAACGCAGCTCAATGAAACTCGGAACATGTATTCATCAGAACCTAACGGTGATGTTTAGCACGTGAAAATTTTTTAAATTTCACCTTCATTCGTGAGTTATATTGCGATACAGGCCGAAATTCGCAGTGATCAACGAATTTTTTCCAAACTAATGAACAGATTTGAACGAAATTTTGAATATACATTCGTAACTACCAAACGGTGAATTTTTTAGCTTCTAAAATTTGTTTGATTCTACCTTCGCTTGTGAGTTTTTTTTTTATTTATTTTACCGTCATTCTTGATTTCACACTTCCTTATATTCGGTCCGTATCGCCGGGTAATTTGTCGCTCAAGTTCGAGGCGATCAAAAAATGTCTTCTAAATTACTGTACAGATTTCAACAAAACTTTGTATATAAATACCTAACCTCCCAACGGTGAGGTTTAGCTCGTGACAATTTTTCTGTCGTTCGCGAGTTATACAGACATAGGAGAAACGACCGGCTTTTCTACCGGCCGGTTTAACCAAGAGCCGTTTACGTATAGCCGTATAACTCGCAAACGTAGGCAAAATTGAAAAAAAAATTGTAACGAGCTAAACATCACCCTTGCTGAGGTTAGGTATTTAAATACTAAGTTTCGTTCAAATCTGTTCAGGAGTTTTTATAAGAAATTTCTTGATTACTGCGAATTTAAGCATGTTTTACTGTTTAAATCACAAATGAAGGTGAAATGCAAAAAAAAAAAAAACTCGCGAAGGCTCAATCGAAAAAAATTTCACGAGCTAATCATTACGGTTCAGTAGTTAGGACTGTAAATTCAAAATTTCGTTCGAATCGGTTCAGTAGGACAAACGTTGGAACTTCTAACTTCGACTTCGGACTGTCGCCCTCTCTTCCGCCCCCCTACCGCCTTTTCCTTCCTCAACGCCCCCCAAAATCTTTCCACCGCCCCTAGGGTGGGGGACGATATCGCCCACTTTGGGGAACACTGACTTAACTGAATTCATCTCGTCTAACCATATAAAAATGAAAATTAAAACGTTCCCGTGATTTTCTTAAAAAAATGCACTCCACGCTCGCAGCTTATCTTCGCAGCAGCTTATCGCTCGCTTAATTTGATCATTATTTCTGCTCCTATTTTTCAAATTTATGCGCACCACTAACTCTCGGTCCCTACCCCAAATAAGTTGTACTCTTAAAACGTTATTTAAACAAGCTTAATTCTTAGCTATACTGCCGTTCTAGGCTTGGTCCAACCTTATTAATTACCCGTACTTCTACCGAAATTCAATGCATGCAGCCGTGCACAACTAATTTTGTGCACCAATAAGCCCTGAATCGAACGCCTTGGATCTCTTCAGACATCCACCAATGAGCCGTGAATGGAACCTGCTATCCGTAGCCGACCCTTGACATCATTCTGCTTTGAATATTTTTAGCTCTACACCCCCCAGACACGAGGTCGAATAGCCTAGATTCGAATGGCCGTCCACCACTGAACGTTGCGTCGAAGCATCACTTCATACCCTGGCCACCGCTCGAACTGGAACTTGCGCGCAACAGCCTGCGACCTCTCGGCTTTGTCCTCCTCCGGCATTGCATAAAACTTGTCGTGCAACACCAGACCGCGGATCGAATATGACTTCTGCTTCAGGGCATCATTAAATTACGTAATTTTACGTGGTCGTTCCTTCGAATAGCATAACTGCTTCAAAATATCGTACTTCCGCGCCTAAAAACACTACTCTTCGCCTCACAAACACGCCGATCGTCTATTCAACTGGCTAGCTCGCTCGCGACATTCTCTCGAGACTAGACTCCGGACTCTACTGACTCTCCCGGTACGCCGTGCTACATACCTCGAAACCCACAACGCCGCGTCGCTTAATTTTCACCCTAAACGACCCACCGTTTTTCCCCCATCAACAGCAACAACCACTTTGCCCTATACCTTGTTATTCGCGTCACATCCTAATTAACAGTCGTAATTCCTACTCATATCATGTTTTAGTTCAAAAAGGTAAATAGTTCAAATTTAATTCGTTATTTTCAATTATATAGTTCAAATTTCATTTGTTAATGGAAAGAATGAAGGTCTTGTGTTGCCTGATCACACTCAACAAATCCAGTCTGTTTACTCAATTTACGTTCCTAGGCAAAGTTTTTTTTTTAAATTGAGATTTTTTTAGAGATCTTGCATGATATTTAAAGTACTTGAGTGTAGGCAATATAGAAATACTTGACAGTTTTTTTCACAGTATTCAAATTAACACTACATGTGCATCTCCAGACGGCTCTTGACCGGGCGCTGTTGGACGACATGCGTAGCAACAAGGAGCAGATTACCGACGCCGTGCTGGCTGTAGATCTGGTCAGCAAGGAGTCCATCTATCATTTCCACAACAACAAGAAAGTGCCGTTCCTGAAAATAACTGTGGCGCTTCCACGACTCATTGCTGCCTGCAAGAGATTGCTTGGTGATGGCAAAGTGGTTGTGGCAGATATCGGCACTCCGCCATACGAGGCATACGAGTCTAATGTTGACTTTGAGCTTAGGTGAGCAATGCCTTTTCCATAACATCATTCAAGTGTCATCATTCCTGTTATATATTAAAATTGTAATTCAAGTATGGTGTTGGCTGTTCTATTCACACATAAAATTTTTGGGGTTCAGTTTTAAATTTAGAATTGAGAGGCTAGAAGCTCGCAATTTCTCCATAAATTAGCTCTTTCTAAATCTTGAAATTAGCTCTTTATAAATCTGTTCTTTTATATCTTCTCATAGTCCATTATTTATAAAGCTTGTGTACAGCTTCAATACGCTGTACTTGAATCCCTGTTTTTTTTTTTTTGCAATGTTCATGTTGCTAGTTTGCAAGCTATCCTGCAGTGTGCACTGAAGGTTCTCACTTGTTGCTCGTGCTGTCTCAGGTTCATGGTAGACAAGGCACTTGTGGGATGCTGTTGGGTGGAGTTACCTGCTGGCAAATACACGGTGCGCTCTAATAAAGAAATGATCACAAGCTGCCAGTTGGAAGTGGACGTCGCATGGGATAAGTTCATCGCCCACCCTCCTGAGGGAGATTGGGGGAGACTGGCTCCCTTTAGGACGCTCTCATTTGACATTGAACTGGTACATTTCATATTAAATTGGGAAATTCAAGTTCACATCCTATATTAACAAAAAAATCTCTAGTGAATGAAATAAAGAAAGTCCTAACACAATCAAAATTGAGAACCTATCAGTTAACACCACCAAAATCTTCTACTTTTACCAGAAAAACGTTTATCCGTTGCAGTTCTCTTGAGTAGACGACAGTTGTAAAGGACCGTAAATCACGCGCACGTTTGCAGCCGTATTCCGTGTGTCCGTACCTCAACTGTAGCCGCGCGTTGCTCGGTTGCCTTTATTCCTAACCGTCGTGTCTCGCTGATATGGATGCCTCACGGTCAGTCTGACCGTAGGTTTCGTGTAGGTTTACTGCGGTTGATGGTTGTGACTGTATCGTTTCTTCTGATGAGAACTGTGACCGTACGGTGCTGATGACCGTACCGATGATAATTTCCGCGCAGTGGTCTGTACTTGAATTCACGATTTGCCGGTGTTACGTATAATCGTTGGACAACTCGTGGCTTCTCACGTTGTCTCACGGCTGAGTCACAGCCGTAGCAATGATTTTGACCGTACATATAATGATATATGGCAAAGTCGTGACCGATGCTTGATAATTTTTGACGTTATATCGGAATCGTGGTGGTATGAATAACTCGACATTTCGCGCTGCCGTTATTTTATGACCCGCCGCCCAACGGCCGGAGCCGTTGCGGAGCTAGCTGTAGACCGTACTGGCATGACGGTCACCACGGTAGAACCAACCATTGGCGCCAATTTTAAGGTCCTTTTATACGCTGGTGTCACGCACAGTTAAGCCTATTCTCTCGAAGTGACGCCGCGAAACCGTTTGATGCCCTCGCCATTCCCATCTGTAAACAAACCCTTGGTCTCACGGTTTCAAGAACAATAGCACCTTATACAAGTTTTACACAGTTCAACCCAAACTCCTATAGCCTTCTTAACACCTTTACTCTAAGTCTCTAACTTCCACTTCACAACACAGCTATTTTCAATCCTATAGTATAAAATAGTCAGAATTACATACGCTTTATTCACTGCAAAGGGGTATTGTGATGCGTGCTCACGCTCATCAGAGGACCTATAGGATTTCTCTTTCTATGGGCATTCTTGTTCATGAGTATGTAATCGTAGTTTTTGTGGTATCAAAATGCGGGTATCGGTTGTGGGATTGAATCGTTATATGAGCAGGCTCAATCACTTGCATTTGATTCTCTGTTTCTATTGTGTGCGTGGCAGATCTCTCGTGTATGCAACCTCTAGTATGATTGTCTTATTCTCTGTTGCTGTTTTACCTGCTTGTTCCTAATTCTCTGTCTTTTCAAAAAGATGATTTGATTCTCCCAAAAAATATGATTTTTGCTTAATTAAATTTGTACTGATCGAGATGTTAATACTAACGTTTATTTTTCGAACTGCAGTCGGTGATCGCTGCATTGGCGCTGCTAAACAATGGCCAGTATGGAAATGTTTGAAATATTAGCGTCATTACCTTCCTGATATAACGATTGAGGAGAGAAACTATTCTGTCTTGAGAGAATACTCACAAAAGTGTTTTGTGAAATAATTTTTAAGTCATAGATTTTAGATCATTTATAGTGATTTTTTCCGAGGAGGCTGAGTTACTGTTCAATTAATAACTATGTATTTAATGTATGAGATACTGAATGACTTTTCATCACAAATTATCATTTTTTAGTAATAATAATTAGTAGTAAATGGTTGCTTTTTTTAAGGCATGGGCAGCATTCGTGCGGCGGGTTGACCCCGATATCATCACAGGCTACAACATCAACAACTTCGACTTCCCATACCTGATATACCGCGCACGCCACCTCAAATGCTCGAAATTCCCGTATCTGGGCCGCGTCAACGCAATTCAGTGAGTATAAATCAGTTAAAATTCTTGTGTAAATTAGTTCAAGTGTTATGTTTAACCCTCTTTTAATGGAACGAATTCCCTCTGGGCCGCATTCAATTCCCTGATTTGCTTTGACTAAATCAAGTTCTTAACCAAGTTACCACATCGTTCGGCATTTGTACGCTGTATAAAATAATTTCATGTTGTTGGCGGGGGTGGTTTGGGCTACTTTGCAGCTCACCCCCCAGTCAATCGCCAATGAGAGCAAGGATGTCGATTAGTGTGGGTTACTGCATAACGCGGAAGATCCGACCACTCGAAGATTTGGAAGCCGAATTTCCCTAAACAATCTATGCAGATGCATGACGAACTATCGACTGTAGGCTTATCGTTGCAGATCGAAGTATATGAGAGTGGGCAACTTTACAGAGCAAACCGAAAAATTCATGCGCAAACTTGTCGGTTGGCTATTCAATCTAATAGAATAATGAATTGGAAATTGATATACACTTTAATTTATGATTATCCAGTTAAAATTGTGTTCAATCTAGTTCAAGTGATAGAATGCGCTATTTCGGGTCCATTTCTGATGCCAATTACGATTATTATATACTACGTAATTATTTTAATACTGTGAAATACGTAAGTGTATATTAGCTTTCCCAGTTTGAACGCTTCCGCAAAGAGGTACGTTTAAGCCTTAATGTTACCTTACCTTAATAATGTTCAGAAGATATCGATTAGTTTGCCTGCATTTTTTTCTAACGTGAGTGTAAAGAAAACGTTTTTTACATGCATATTATTAAATGATATAAATCTCCTGCTATCGACTAAAAGTCGTATAAAGAAACTGCTTCGAAACTTAGCAATGTTTTTATTTAAAAAGATCCCATCATAAACTTCATAGTTCGTATTCAAAACATTTTCATACAGCTGCTTTAGCATGTTCCATTAATCATGATAAATTTGCCTCAATTTTTCAACGAGGCTGATGTGAGGCAATAAAAATAATGAGAAATAAATTTCGATGTAAATTGAACAGCTCTATTATAAAATTTATATAAACTAGAGTACTATCTTGTAAATAAATTGAGGAAATATGGAAGTAACTGCATTTCGCTTGCTCGAAAATCATAAAAAGTGGCAAGATAAACAGTGCTTGTCTGTCTCCTTTGATGAACGAAATTGATCACGAACATTTTTACCCAATCCAATACGAGTAATATTATTTTTTCGATTGAATAGAAACTGCGTTCATTCCTTGAAAATAAATATAAATGAATAACCTTTAAACAGCTCCACCAAAATTTGTAGCACTTACTCGATTCACCTGACGATTGCAAGCCATTCGTTTTGCAGTTACAGTATGTAGTTGATAGAGCTCAGTATGGTAAGGTGTTTTGGTGGGCAAGCTGGCTGAGGCGTGAACTCAGACTCGAAATTCCCGCTTTCGAATCTTGGAGCTGCGTCGCCGTTTATTCGGTAAGAGCACTTAGCGGTGAATTACTTGTAACCTCTCTGCATCATTATTAATTGAATTTATTAGTTTTTGATTGATATCGCAAGTGCATATACGATGTGAATGTTCGACAGCGAAGACTATCTAATCTGACTTCCCAGTCAATCACCAATGTGGGTAACGAAGTCGATTATTGCGGGTTATGTCATAACGCGGAAGATCCGACCACTCTACGATTTGGCAGTCGAATTTCCCTAAGGGCATTTGACAAATAATATGGATTTGACATTGATTAATGCAGCTTCAACGTAGATGAATGATGATTCGACATCGATTAATGCAGATTCGGCTTCAGCTACTATAGATTCGATATCGATCGATGCAGATTATTCGTATCAACAAATTATCAGGTGCACAAAATGCGACGATCTTCGCTGAATCGGCATAGAAAGCTATTCAATAATCGTCGTTGTGCCCCGCGACTTTGCCCTCTCCGTTACCCACTCCAAATGGGTGTTTGCCCTTGTCGATCGAGCAAGAATCTGCATTAATTTTTTCATCGATCCGCCCTAATCTTCATCGATCTAATCTTCATCATCCCCTCTTATTTGTGTTACTGTGTATATGTTTTTCTTTTGAAGTGTTATACGTGGTCCTGGTGCATTTTACTTCGTGTTATTTGTAGTTCAGCTTCAGTTACTCATTTATACATTTTACTTTATTCGGTCATTTGCCTGTCACACTCTTACTGTATGAGATCCCAAATAATTATTAGATAATAATATTCTTGTTACCAACAAGTCAGGTAAAGTAGGCGACGAGTTCGTCTCACCTGCATTGACTTCAAACACCAGTAACAATGTCTTGAGTTTTTTTTATCAACACCTCACATAATTGCTTTGATGTGGGCTTCTTTTTGGAGATATTCTCTTTATTTGCCTATTTTCTTAATATTAGATGTATTTCTTGGGGTATAATATTTTCTTCCAATACACTGAGAAATAATTTGCAATGAACACTTACAGAAGTTCGTATTTGTTTCTTGGATTGGGAATTTTCCCACTTCAACTGTAGTTGTATTGAATGAGTCACTTATGGGATGACATTTCATTTCTACAGATCAGTGGTGAAGACGACCATGTTGCAGAGCAAGCAAATGGGCAAGCGAGAAAATAAATCTGTCAACATCGAAGGACGCACTCAGTTCGACGTGATCCTTGTGCTGCTGAGGGAATACAAGCTACGATCCTACACTCTGAACGCCGTGTCCTACCACTTCCTAAAGGAGCAGAAGGAGGACGTGCATCATTCCATCATCACCAACCTCCAGAATGGCAACGATCAAACCAGAAGAAGGTTATGAACTCTCTAGGCTTGTGGTTATTGCTCCTCGCATGGTTATTGTTTGCTTTCTCTTGGTGATGATAGAAGATTTTTGCTCTTTCGTGATTCAATTGCGGCTAATTATTACGCATTGCTTAGATGGCCTCTAATCTATTCTTGTACAACATCTTAAATCGTAAAATTAATGTCCTGAAGCTGAAAACTTATATTTTTACATTTTTTATCTCATCACTAATCAGTTACATTTCCTATCTTTTTTACAATATTTTCTTCCTGGAATCTTGTTAACAGAGCTCGAAAGACGTGTTTGTATGGCACTGGAAAATTAAATTTCACTTCAATATTCTGTATTTTAGACCACCTCAGGAGGGACTTCTGACGCGTGTCTGTGCTCGTCAGAAGTCCTATGGGATTTCGCGCTCCTAGGGGGATTGTTTCTGAGCGCCTCACCACTGAGCTCGCGGTGTCTGACTGCAGATCTCAGTTGTGGGGTTAAGTTATTATGTAGGTAGGATTCCTTACATTTCCCTTCTCTGTCTCTCTCGTGCGGGCGACCGACGTTCCGTGTAAGCGACCTCTTGTTCGAGTGTCTTTGTTTCTGCTGCTTTACACCTGTCCCTCCTTGTCACTTCGTCTCTCTGAGATGCTAACGCTGCTTCCTTCGAGCCAGCTTCAGCGAGCTGGACAATTGAGACCTTCCACCCCTTGTGGGTGATGATTAATTTGAGATATTGAATTATTGAGACCTCCCGCCTTGCTGGCGATGTTACATTTTGACCTCCGGTGAGAAATAGCTTGATAGCTGAAGCGCTAACAAACCATTATACTACTATGTACTCTGTATTTTAGATTGGCGGTATACTGCCTTAAGGACGCTTACCTGCCGCTGCGCCTCATAGACAAGCTCATGTGCGTCATCAACTACATGGAGATGGCGAGGGTGACGGGCGTGCCGCTCTCCTACCTCCTCACCAGAGGACAGCAAATTAAAGTCATGTCGCAGCTTCTCAGGAAGGTGTGGGAAACTCAGAATGTTACGTATTTGCGTCACTGTTGTTATGTATGTTTTCTCTCTCCCCTCTCTGAGGTAATATTCAATAATAACTGTTGCCGAAAATTAAAAATATAATAACAATTGATGGTTTGACATTTATAATTGACAATTTGATTTTATTCTTATAAGATCCCTCTCGTACAGATGCAAATTTCATTTTTTACTTCTATAAGTCGCCGTGTAAATGTTGCTCAAAACTATTTCTTCACATTTTGTAGACTTCCCTGAACTATTACGTCTAGTAGCGGTTGAAGTATTCATATCACATCCTTCACAAATTCTTCCAATTGCAATGAGGAAAAATGTTCATACTTGCGTATTGCGTTGTTTGCACTACAGGCTGCAGAACAGAACCTGGTGATACCCGTGCACCATGGTGTAGGTGACGACGAGTTCGAGGGCGCCACCGTGATTGAGCCACGACGTGGCTATTATGATACGCCCATTGCCACGTTGGATTTCTCTTCACTGTATCCCTCCATCATGATGGCCCACAACCTCTGCTACACTACATTAATAACTTCACCAAAGCACGCCGAGACCCTTGGGTAAAAACGACTTTCATTGTAGCAAGTTCAATGCCAGTTACTCTATCTTTATTGCATTTGATGAAAAGCCAAAAAAATTAGAGTGTCCAATTTTACTTCATTTTTGACAACTCGAATGTGTACAATCCTCTTCTATGAAGGAGCTTATTGATTTAATTTCAGGCTTACGTGCGAAGATTACATCAAGACACCGTCGGGGAATTATTTTGTCAAGTCCCACAAACGGAAGGGCTTACTACCTGAGATCTTAGAGCATCTTCTCGCAGCTCATAAAAAGGCTAAATCTGATCTTAAGAATGAGACAGACCCTCTTAGAAAGAAGGTAACATACAGAACACATGGCTCGCTTCCCAGAGGTAGAACATATTTTTGTATGAACTATAGTTTGATGGTTGTTGAATTGTGAATTTGATATTTGCTCATTCAGTGACTGGAGTTTAAATTCGGTGGAAAATTAGTTACAAGTGTTTAGTACATATGATTCTTTACTGCCTCCTCACTGTTTTTAACGGAACATACATATATGCTATTTTTACTTTACTAGAAATGTAATTAAGTAGGTTGATAGCATTCTTGGAGTTTAAGCTCAAAATTGAAGTCTTGTGTCTTTTCATCTAGAAATTTGATGGTTCCCTCAGGTGTTAGATGGCCGTCAACTTGCACTAAAAATCTCAGCGAACTCAGTGTACGGCTTCACTGGCGCGCAAGTTGGCGATCTGCCTTGCTTGGAGATCTCTCAGAGCGTCACGTCTTTCGGTCGTACGATGATTGCCTTCACGAAGGAAGAAGTGGAGAAACAGTTCAGAACTGAGAACGGCTATGAGCACGACGCTGAAGTTATCTATGGAGACACCGCCTTTGTTATGGTCAAGTTTGGAGTTACAACCGTGGCCGAGGCAATGAAACTTGGCAAAGAAGCTGCTGGTTTTGTGTCGGCAAAGTTTGTCAACCCCATCAATCTTGAGTTTGAAAAGGTTTGACCAGTTCTATCTCTTTAGTATATTTAAAATTATAATTATTATCTCCAGAATTGACATGAATGCATGTTTTATTCCTTTGTTTACTCGTATTCTCATCCATTTTCTCGCCACGATGGACCAATTTGATGCTGCTATATGTGCTCTGCAAGCTTCTGAGGATCGAGAGTGGATTCATGTCCAAATCTACCCATAATATGCATTTGTTTTCAGTTTTCCCTTATTTTCCCTAAAAGTCTTGCTAGTAGTCACTGTAATTTTTTAATTTTATCGAAGCTTATGTTGCAGGTTTACTTCCCCTGCCTTTTGATCAATAAGAAGCGTTATGCCGGTCTCTGCTTCACCAAGCCTGATGTGCACGACAAGATGGACTGCAAGGGCATTGAGACGGTCAGAAGGGATATCGCTCCCATCGTCGCTAATCTTATCAATAACTGCCTACAAAAAATTCTCATCGACAGGTGTGTTATCATAAATAAGTTAGCTCCAGTTTAATAATAAGTTAGCTTCAGTTTAGTTTTCACTACTAAGAATTTAGTATAGTATAGTATCTTCGGCATTGAAGAATAGGCCTGTAGCCAATTCTTGTACTTTTCTTGACTAGACTGGCCTTTTGATCAAATCTTTTCGACGGACGGCAGATTTAAAATCGCTTCTAGAATTCAGTTGTTCCGTAGGATACGAGGCATTTCAAGACAAAACATATGCTCCTGCATGGCCTTGTCTAGTCTGTTCTTGAACGCGTTCATACTCGGAGCGTCAACAATATCTTCAGGGAGGCTGTTCCATATGTCGGTGACTTGAAGCGAGAAGAAATGTTGTCAGGTGGATAAGTTGCACCGCAGTTTTTTTAGTTTGTAGCTGTGGCCCCTAGTGTTGGTTCTTGTTTCAAATTCTAGTAATCCTTCTGGGACCTAGTACAAACCATGAGTGTACTTGTATACTTCACTGAGGTCACCACGCAGGCGACGATAACGGAGACTGGGAAGCTTCATAATCTTCAATCTTTCTTCATAAGACTTGCTTTTTAAGCCTGGAATTATCCTTTATTATCTAGGTACTCGTAGGAGCGTCTGATCAGCCCAAGCAGTGTATTGAATTTTTTAACTTGCGTATCAATATGCCTAGAAAATTTTAGCTCCTTGTCGACCCAAACTCCAAGATCTTTTTCCACGCAAGACTTCTCAATCACAACCCCCTCGTTGCAACCGTGTCTTCTCATGCTGTAAGCTAGCTCTTCATTGTTCTTGCCGAAGTGAAGTACTTTACACTTGTCAGCATTGAAACGCAGCTGCCACGCATCAGCCCAGTCAACTAAACTATCAAGATCATTTTGCAGTTGCATTTTATTTGATGCATCCTTAACTGTATTATAAACTTTTGTGTCATCAGCATACATGAAGCACACGCTTGACACTACTTCTGGTAGATCGTTTATATAAGCGACAAACAAAACAGGTCCAAGAACGCTTCCTTGCGGTACGCCACTGCGCACAGTTACACAGTCTGATACGGTTCCGTTAATGCTAACACGTTATCTTCTGCCTACCAGGAAATTCCTGATCCATTGGAGTACATTTCCCTCTATTCCCAAAGAATTCACTTTACTTAACAGTCGCTCATGCGGAACACTATCAAATGCCTTGGCAAAATCGAGGTACAGTGCATCCACTGGCTCCCTTTCGTCCAGCAGGCGAGTCCAACTATTCAAGGTAGACAGGAGATTAATGGTGCATGATCTGCCAGCAATAAAGCCATGCTGACAGTCTGATAGAAGATGGTTAACAGTCAAGTGATCGATAATCCTATCCCTCATAACCGATTCCATCACCTTACACATAACACTAGTGACACTTAAAGGACGGTAGTAACCGGGGTTACTTCTGTCACCTTTTTTGAACAGGGGTGTCACTTGGGCTTCTTTCCAGTCGGTCGGCAAAGTCCATTCGATCAAGGTTTTTCGAAAGAGTACTGTTAAAAGGCCGGCCAGGACGGTTGCTAATTCGTTGAGTAATCTATTGTGGAAACCGTCTGATCCAGATGACTTGTTGGGATTCAGGGAGACCAAGCGCTTGAGAATCTCCTCTTCATGTATCTCAAAACTAGTTAACTTCGAGCCCACTGGTCGCTTCTCAATAGCTGGAATACTATTCAAGTCCTCATCTGTGAAGACGCTGCTAAAGAACTAATGCAATAAAACGCTAAAATAGATTATTAATTTATTGTTCATTCACATTATGAAAAGTCAAGCTGTTCAACTACGTCTTGAATAAATGCAAGTTCGGGAGACGGCATAAAATTTCTCGATTTTTCGTTAATTTAAACTCTAGTTTATAGATCTTTATGGAATTTTAACCTTTTTTTATCGGTAGGAATCCTAACGGCGCCGTGGAGTTTGCAAAGCAAACAATTGCGGACCTTTTGTGTAACCGTATCGACATTTCACAACTCGTAATAACGAAAGAGCTGACGAAGACGGAGAAAGACTACGCTGCTAAGCAGGCACACGTTGAGCTCGCCAGCAAAATGAAGAAGCGCGATGCTGGTAGCGCCCCCAAACTGGGCGACCGCGTGCCCTACGTCATCATTGCGGTCGCCAACGCCAAAAAAATTCCAGCATACAAAAAAGCAGAGGTCTGCTGCACCCGGTTTTTGGCTAACTTCAACCCTAGAAATAAAACTGAAATCTTCATTCGATTTCAAGTGAATCTTTCTTTCATCATTGATTATTGTAGAATTTTGATAATATTTTATGTAGACCATGAAATCCGACACTTCTATTGAAGTAACGTCCTAATTATTCCAGTCATGTATTGGTTTTTCTTATAGAATAGAATAGAAGTGTCGGCACTGAAGAAATAGGCCCATGGCCTGTTGCCGATTCTTGAATTTTTCGTGGCTTGATTCACAAGGGATCCGGCCTGTGGAACCTGATCTTTCCATAATTGACTTATCTTGTATTTTTCAACTAAAACTAGGCCTTCATTTTTGAGCTAAAACTGTGCCTTCATTCTGTCAGGATCCCATGTACGTGTTGGAGAACAGTCTTCCCATCGACTACGAATACTACCTCACTAATCAGTTAAGCAAGCCATTGCTCAGGATATTCGAGCCAATCCTGGGAGATAAAGCTGAATCCAAGCTATTGCGTGAGTATCAACGTGCAAGTTTTAACTAGTAGGCCATTTTTTCATTCTTGTGCTAAAAATCGCGTCGCCGTCATATTGGATGGCAAACATTAGCGTCGCCATTAGATCGCTGAGAAAATATTTTTGCTAAATTATTTCTGAAGCTAGTGGCAAATTTCATTTGTCATCTTGACGGGTATGAATCTCACGTCACGGGTGAGGTAACCACGTTACCCCCTTTGAATTAGGTGTGGCAACAACCCTTCTATATTATATAGTTGAGGTGAATGAAAGACTGGTGTCTTGCATTATAAATTGAATACGAATACAGTGCAATGAATCGCAAAATAATAACTAACTGTTAAATGTATGTGGTACAGTGTAATTCAGGAGTTATGAATATGAGTGGAGTATTGGGATTTGTGAGCATGGACAGGGTTACACACATACACTTATTTCAGAATAAGCAAACTGGAAAACAAATAATACAAAAATCAATGACCTGTACAGCTAGGTATAATAGTACTAACCCTGAAGAGAAATTGGGTGTTAAAACTAATGCAATAAAACGCTAAAATAGATTATTAATTGATAGCAAGCTGGTTGCGTGCAGCAAGCGATAAATTTGGAAAACAATACAGACAACATTATAACATTTGGAGTAAAATCAGCAAAACCTTTGCAAAGATAAGCTAAAACCAGAACCAAGATAAACCGCTCGAGTAATTTGTAAAAGTTGTGAAGTTCCTAGGATAAATAACAAAAGCAAAGCATTCAAGAATCAATTGCAAGCAAATGATAGTATAATTAAGAATTGCGCAGAAAAAAAAAACTAATTAATCTAATTAACAGGCAGTAAAGTTACAGGACACTTACAAAAACATCTTTACAAATTAAAGGATAACACTCAACTAAACTCGCCAGCAATTTGTGGCAATTCCATTTCAAGATTCCCTTCTCTACAGGGTCCGCCATATTTATAGCAACGGATGTTTGCTACATAAAAATAAATTGGTTTCTAGGAGACTTTTCTTTTATAATGAAGCTAGATGTCATCTATTAATTCATCTATTCTATATTGCAGAAGTCTAAGGTGTTTAAATTTACTATTACTTATGGCAGTAGATAGAAATGCAATTGCAACCCTTTTTGAGAAGGGCGAGAGTAATTCAGTCATTGCAAAAAAGTTCCAAATTCGTCGTGAAACTGTGTGGAAGGTGGAAAAAAAATTCAAGGAAACTGGTGAAACATGCAATCGACCTGGTCAAGGAAGGAAACGAAGTGTCCGAATAAAACAATGGGTCAAAAACACGAGGGAGAAGTCGAGGAGAAACCCTCGTCGCTCTGCTGCTAAATTTTCTGCAGAAGCAGGAGTCAGTAAGACATCAATGCGTAGAGTCCTCAAAGATGACCTCAAAACCTCCCCTTACAAGACGCAAACAAGGCATGAACTAACAGACCGTCATGAACGAATGAGGCTCGAAAGATGCCAGCACATTCTAGATCTCATTGAGGACGGCACGCTGCCCAACTTGGTGTTCAGTGACGAGAAAAAATTTGACATTGAACAAAGCGTTAACCGTCAAAATGACAGAGTTTGGAGTCGGGGTGGATCTGTGGCAACCAGAACAGCAACACGACGTCAAAATCCCATGTCCGTGATGGTTTGGGTCGCGGTAACCGCCACTGGGAGGTCCCCACTCGTTTTTGTCCCCTCAGGAGTGAAATTGAACAGTCAGCGATACATTTCGGACATTTTGGAAGCTGTGTTATGATTTGAATGCTCTCGACTTTTCTGTGTGGGCTATTTTAGAGAGTAGGGTCTGCAGAACACCTCATGATTTTTTGGATAGTGTGAAGTCTAAATTGAAACGAGAATGGGACTTGATCCCTCAAGAAATGCTGCTTGTATCCTGTGAAGCTTTCCCGCGTAGATTGGAGGCCGTCAATAAGGGTGGTCATATTGAATAAATATGTCTGAGAATTGTTAAGGTAATTCTTGGCTACTAGCTCATCCAATAAAAAACAATGCACCTATTTGTTTAATTGAGAAATAACAAAAAACATGCGTTGCCATAAATATGGCGGACCCTGTAGTAAGTTCAAACATTATCGGCTCTGGATAATTCTCAATACTGACATCAACACACAAATGAGAAATATTGCTAATTTACTGGCTGTCAAGAGCAGAAAGTATATGATAAATATAGTAGTAATTACTTTAAAGAAATACAACAATAATCAATCAATAATATGAGACAGAGAGAAGATGGTTGAGCGGAAAAATAATTGTATAGGGTAACATGGGGCAGCGAGCCCACTGCGGGTCAAAGGAAGCAGGTTTAGTTTCTAGTTATGCGTATTTATGACCCCTTATTGAGTTATTGACTCTTGCCTTGCCAAAAGTTGATTTCAGTCAACACCAATGAGCCAAAAGTTGATGAGTTTTTATGGTGTTGGCTGAAATTACGATTAGGTACGAATTCTCTGCACATAATATCTGTATTATGGACGAAACTGGAACGAAGTTTTTTCTGATCAACTAAATATATTTTTTTTCTAGTCAAGGATAAATTTTTCATGTCAAGGACGAATTTTTTATTTCAATGATATATTTTTCAATACAAGGATATATATTTTTATGTCAATGAATTATATTTCTTCACGTCAGTGATAAATTTTTTAGGCCAAGAGTATATTTTTTTCAAGTTGAGGATATAATTTTTTGAGTTGTTAATAAATGAATGAATGTCATATTTTTTTATTACATTTTTCTTTTTTTTAACTGTGAAGTGTTATTTTATCATTTTTAAACGAAAAATATGCAATTGTGGTCAAGGGACCAAGGGTGGGCGCCTTGCCCCAAGCCCATGGGCTCATTGCCCCAGGGGTGGGGCAATGGGCCCATTTTGACACTTTTTACAAAATAGTGTTTCATTAAAAATTGGATAACTCTATATAGGCGTCTAATTCACATCATACATTCCTCATTAGTTGTATCTTTAAACAAAGCAAAGAACCACCTCGTATCAATTAAAACTTCATCAAAAATTTCGTTTAAAAAAAGAGGGGGGCGCTGCCCCATGTTGCCCTATGCCCCCCGGCAACAACCTTGCCGAATTTGTTACATTATTGATAGTTGAGAGTTTCGCTGAATATTCAACGATTTACGAATACTCAATGCATTTCACTATTACTATGGATACAGGCAATAGATTGAACAATTAATGGTTTACAAACTAATTCAATTGACGTGTTGCCAGGAGGAGATCACACGCGGACGCGCACCATCTCCCACAGCAAAGCACCATCACCCACAGTACCATCTCCCATGGCGAAATTCATCACCAAGAAATACGCTTGCATCGGCTGTAAAGTGCCCGTGGCCAGTGCCAGCGTAGCGCTCTGCAGTCATTGCAAAGTGAATGACTATTCGACTCGTTGTTTGCTTATTTATATCACAATATTGCCGTCGAGATCATGACAACCTTCAGTTTAATATCAAGAGATTTTTATGCATTGTGGCTACCCCATGACAGATTTTCATCTCGTGTTTAATGATAGTTAAGCAACATGAGTTATTTTCTCTCAACCCGATTATTATTATCGCTATCTCCACTTTATGAATCTCATTTTATGTAACAAATTACTACCTGCTATTTAAACATAAGCCCATGAATACTGTTGATCTTTGCAGAGCAAGGAAGATGCCGTGTACATGCAGCAAATATCTGTCCTCGCATCTCTTGAGAGTAAATTCAATCGTCTGTGGACGCAGTGCCAGCGGTGCCAAGGCTCATTGCACGAGGAGGTCATATGTACGAGGTAAGAATGTTTAAAGAATGATCTATTACAATAAGCGTGACATACACTCGGATATTATCAGATATAATCAACGACTAGGGAAATAAATTATTGGTTCAGCTTTCCTCATAAAGGTTCTGTGTTGGAATAATAATTGGAATAAACTCGAGTTGATTTGAGTGCATCTAACTATGCTGTACAAGATCGTAATTAGCTGTAAACATTACTGTGTATCAACGCTTTGTCTGTCTCCGCAGTCGCGATTGTCCCATCTTCTACATGCGGAAGAAAGTGCAGCTCGAGCTTACTGATCAGGATAAAATCGTCGAGAGATTTGGCGCCCCTTCCTGGTGAAAACAACGTGTTAGAATAAACGTATCACCTATATGCAACATGTACTGCGAGTTGTCGGATTCTAGCGTAACTTTTATGTCTCTTGCCTTATTTCCTGTAAGAGGAAGCACCCGCTTCTAATATCGCTCTCTAGCTTCTTGTCTTCAGCTTGAGCAGGTTCTAGCCGCTCTTAGTTACGGTGTTAAAGTAAACCTTAGCAGAAGACTCAGCATTCATTCAACCCCACAACCGTGATAATTTCATGCCATCGCACAGTGTACACAGGACCACACAAAAATTCATAACAAGAAAACGTCGAAATTTTTAAGAAAAAATACAAAATGCTTCCTTGTGAATGCCCATATAAGTTAAAAAAGCTTGCAGGCGACTTAGGCGATATTACTGTCAATAGAACTATAACGTACAATAATGATAGGATAAGTCAATAGGGAACAGAAAGTGACTAAAGTAAAAACATCCTAATAAACTAACCTTTAATAAAACTGATATAAGAATAAGCAGCATGGCGACTAAAAACGAACATAACAAAGGCAATAACAACCCTACGTAAAAGACATACAAACAAGACGAAAAGTCAAAACAATGTTGACTTACACCATAGCATTTTTCAAAAATCTTATTAAGAAAGACAATTACTAAAATCCTACATGATAATCGAAGTCAAATTAATACTTGGAATAAAATCGCAGAATTTAGTCTTTAACAAGAATTTAGAACAATATATTATCATCAATTCATAAATTGATGATAATATAAATTCATTCATAAAAATAAATAAATATAATTCTAATTTATTTAGAATTTTATAAATTCTAATTTATTATATAATAAATAAATATAAATTCATTCATATCAAATCATCAGGCAATTCATTAAAATATGTACATAATTAAAAACTACCGTTTCTGTCAATTTCTAACTGAGCCGGGAGTAAATTAATAACAATAATATCTGTTTCAGCGTTTAGTAGGCCGTAGGCCTGTCGCCGATTCTTGACAGAGCAGAACATTCACAGCATTTTGCGGTCTCGAACTCGCAACTCACTGCTCCAATTCTGCTGTGCTTAACCGCCCGGCCTCCTCGCCGATTCTGACCAGAAACTGGCAAACAGAGCAGGGATCGAACCCGCACCTCTCTGCTCCAATCTTGGTACTCTGAGCTTTTAACCACTGGGCCACCCTGCCCACCGCGTGTAACCCTGCCTACCACTGGGCCACCCTGCCCATTGGTGTTATGGGAATGTTGATTGTTGAGGAACAACAGAGGCAAATGCAGATTTAAAAAGACGTTCTTCATGGAAAAGTGCCCTATTCATGAACTTTAAGAGCTGAATTTGTATATATCATCAAATTTTAAAATTTTCTACTTGCTACTGCCGGTATAATACATTAATACGAGTCAAAGGGATACTGTTTTCATCATATCTAACCCGAAATATTGTACGCAACGATTTATCAATTAAGATGATGACCCGTTTCTTTGAATTAAAAGGTACCCCACCCCAGATTACCAACGTGTTTTATAGTTTAGATAAGGACAATGAGTAGCAAAGCGTTCTTAACAATAGAGAAAGTAAAACACTTGATAGAGCACGCAAACTAATACATTTTCGAGACGTTCACAACATTCCCACGTCATATTCGTTCATCTTGCATGAGCGACTGTTACGTAAAGTGAATTCTTTGGGAATAGAGGCAAATGTACTAAAAATGGATCAGGAATTTCCTAGTAGGCAGAAGACAACGTGTCAGCATTAACGGAATCGTATCAGACTGGGTAACTGTGCGCAGTGGCGTGTGGGGACGAGATCCACTACAGGCGTACCGCAAGGAAGCGTTCTTGGGCCTGTTTTGTTTGTCGCGTTTATAAACGATCTGCCAGAAGTAGTGTCAAGCATGTGCTCCATGTATGCCGATGACACAAAAGTTTATAATACAGTTAAGGACGCGTCAAATAAAATGCAACTGCAAAATGATCTTGATAGTTTAGTTGACTGGGCCGATACGTGGCAGCTGCGTTTCAATGCTGACAAGTGTAAAGTACTTCACCTCGGCAAGAACAATGAACAGCAAGCTTACAGCATGAGAAGACACGGTTGCAACGAGAGGGTTATGATTGAGAAGTCTTTCGTGGAAAAAGATCTTGGAGTTTGGGTCGACAAGGAGCTAAAATTTTCCTGGCATATTGAAACGCAAGTTAATACATCCAATAAACTGTTTGGGCTGATCATACGCTCCTACGAGTATTTAGATAGAATGATGAAGCTGTTGTTCACCTCTGTCGTGCGCCCTAACCTAGAGTTTGGAAACGTTGTGTGGTCACCGAGACTTGAATGTACTGTACTGTACTGTACTGTACTGTACTGTACTGTACTGTACTGTACTGTACTGTACTGTACTCTACTGTACTGTACTGTACTGTACTGTACCTTATACTGCACTGCACTGTACTGTACCTTATATTGGACTGCACTGTACTGCACTGTACCTTATTCTGCACTGCACTGTACTGCACCGTACTGTACTGCTCTATACTGTACTGTACTGTACTGTACTGTACTGTACTGTACTGTACCTTATACTGCAATGCACTGTACTGTACTGTTCTGCACTGTACTGTACTGTATTGTATTGTACTGTACTGTACCATAATGCATTGCACTGTACTGTACTGTACTGTACTGTAGTGAACTGCAGTAAGTAGGTAAACTAATGACCTATTAATATATATAACTGTATTATATATAGGGAAATATCATCAATCATCGGGGAACGAACACATTTAAAGATGACAGCTTAGCGCAAATTAAGCCTGGAAGTCATTCTAATACTGCTTATGAATGTAGCATCCGGAATCCGAAGTGACTGCGACAGGTGAAAATGTGCTCACTTCAGCGAGCAGTAGCTTTGCAATAATCAATGCACACACCTTACAATAATAATTTTGTATTCCGATTACATATCATATATGAGGGGAAGAGATGACTTAACTATTATTAAGTTGCGGTGATAATAATGCAGGTCGAAAATGGTACAGCTGATTCATTCCACCTATCATTCATTTGACCTTGAAAGTATAAATAGAACTATAAAAAGTTAAACCCTAATACCATTGAAAAATAAAAACAATCAGGCTAATTTCTTAAGAATCTAAGACTAGGAAATTCAAACTAACAAGTCTTATGTACCTACAGATCACCCATTTCAGATTGATGAATAATGCAGGTTCGGGCAGTGATAGGTAAACACGAGCCTCGCAATTGTGAGTGTGTGGTCATTCGTGAGGATGAGTCACACGAAGTGTGCGGTGTACACGCAGCGTGTGCGCTGTGCACCGCAAACACGCACACGGTGGCAGCGCACACGATTTACCCGCCAAAGCGGGACACGTGCTCGACAGCTTCCTGATTGGCTGCCGCCCAGAACTGGGCGGAACTTCCACACAAGGAAATACATCTAGCTGTGAATATACAGTATTACTTTACAATATTTGCATGTATAAAAGAACTAAAATTCAAGATGTGCAAGTGAAGTTTTCAAACTTCATCTTATTAATCATTTTCAAAAGGTGTGTATATACTTTCGTAATTACCTTATTCTCTTTGCACCCACTGATGAGTCATTGCTGTCACCAAAAACTTTGTTATATGTATCTGCTCGAATTATATTCAGTAACAATGTTAATTAAGAGTAACTATTCTCAATACCAAAGTTTTAAAAACAGCGGTCAAGTGACGGAGTTGAGGCTGAAGTTGAGGGGCGGACGTATGATAATAGCACTTGCCACGCGAAGTAACCTGTTGTGGCAAGAAGCTCCCGCCCAGTCCAGCTTCAGTCGAAGAGTGTGTGTTGCTCAGCGAGCACTTCAGTAGCTGCCGCGACACGATCGAGTGAGCAGCTCGCCTTGCCTCTCTCCGCGACCACCAGTGATTTTTGACAGCTCCTGAGAGCGAGTGACAGAATTTGCTCATCTTGCGAATTAAAAGTGATTATTTCTAATAGATGACTCGAATAACGGTTCTGTTTTATCTACTAACCGCTGTCTGCGATCTTCTGAATTCGAAAGATATTTCTCGAAAAAAGCTCTTCGTAAACCTGATCCAAGAAATCCGGACTTGTGATTGAGTGTGACCAAGTTCATTGAGTCCGGCTATGTTCTTAGGCTTGATGAATACAATGGCAGTGCCTATGGGATTTGTACACATTCCCGAACAGGAAAAATTTTGCCAGTGTCACTTGAACAACAGACCTTCAATCTACGAACCTGACACAATGGAATCTAACAACACGCAAGGTAAATATAATTTTTCGTGTCCTTTTCAATTTTTTTAGCCGTCCAAATTGAATCGTTTGCGTTGCGTTGAGAATTAATCGTAAAACGTTTTTTTTTTCATTTTTTAGAGGAACAAATGTGCAAATTGCTATTTTTCTTCAAATGAAATTCAGAAAATAAAAAAATCTAATCGATTAAGAAATTTATAACGCGATCAAAAATAAAACCAATTTACAGCTAGTTGATCGAAAACGAACCCCGAAACTTATGTTTGCGGAATATTATCAAATTTCGAATTTTCATAAACTTTAAAAAATTTTCGCGAAAAAATTTCAATACCAAAATTTTATAAATCAGACATTGATCTCAAAATCCAATTATAAATCTTGTTATCATTTTTTTGAATATTGCGCGTTATTTTATTTTTTGGCTCTTCATGAAAAATTCTGGAAGACATGCAGAAAGCCGGTTTGGCCTCGCCTACAGTTCTCATTCTCGGTCACTTAACTCGAGATAATCAAATCTAAATTGAGCTAATTTAACCGCAATAAATCTAATTACAATGAAATTAGGGGTCGGCAGACTTTTAACCCTTTGACCTCTTTATAGCTTATTTCTATTTAAAACGACCTCCTCCTGACATGCACTCATGCAAATGTGTGATAAAATTGTGAATAATCTCTGACGTTTTTTTTTTGGCGCCGATAAAGAGAGGCTACAAAGTAACAAAATTTTCTGTTTCACCCAACGCAATATGTTCAGAGAATTATATTATGTGAAGCGGGCAGAGATATCTTGTTAAACCATTAATTCAATGCATTTAATCTATTGGAATAATTTTTGCAATCATAATTTTTAAATAATATGTAAAAATAATAACCATTGAATTTTCACAAAAGCAAAGATTTTAGTATATTTAATATATTGAACACTGACTGCACGGTCAGCTAGGTTGCTCGGTATGCAAGATACGGCGTAAAATAAATTCAATGTAGGAAATAAATATTCTTATTCGAAATATGACCAATCAATGATATTATCAGAAAATTATAATTTATTTGTGATTGGTCTGATTTGAATACATGATTTTTATGATTAAACAACTCTGTTCTTTAAATAATTTTATGTATCAAAAAATAAGTCAACACTATAATTTGATTATAGGCAAAAGTATTTTCAACCTCATATTACTTTTTCTTTCCTGATTTCACTTAAACCTTCAAAATAAATTTAATGATTTTCTTGTAAATTTTTACTATTTTGTTTTACAAGCTCCTCTCTGTAGATAATTAATTCTAACTGTTGGCTGGAAACAATTAAATTATACAAATAATTCCTCTCCTGAGATAACATGGCTTTCCTGATTGGCGATGTTAATGCATTGAAATTGTATGTCTATTTATTGTATGTTAAATATTTGAGTGCTGCGCCAAATTAAGTATCTGCAAATTAATAACTTCTAATTATGCGTTTATTTGTTGACATCTTCTCTATTTGTATCCTCACTTGTGAACTAAGTTGTGAGTTCTTACTAACAGATCTTGTTGGTAATTTGATTTTAATTGTTCATATTAGGACCAAAAATCAGTGCTGATAAGAGGGTTGTGCTACTTAGCGTGTGCCTCGACGTCAGTGATAAGCGACGCGCGATAACGCCGATAACAACGCTCGCAATTTTATAGCAATGCTCAGAATGCTCCGGTATCAATGTTCAGAATCCTTTTATGGTGATAAATAATCGATGATACCGAACAGAATTAAAGCTTGGTCTTGGTCACTGCTAGGCGTAAGTACCAAATAATGCAGGATTTTTTTAAATCGAGTTCGTGATTCGAGTTTCGTTAAATTTAATCGTTGAATTTAGTTGAAGTCACGTTGAGTAGGAATAGAAGTATTTGATCGTCGCTAGGTGAAAGTGATAATCTATTTGATGGTGCAGAGGCTTCTGCACCATCAGGTTAGTAAATTTCGACCGTTCCATTTCCATGTCACATCTTCACGTGACATGATTAAAAAATTGGAAGAAATGAAGCGGATAAGATTTTTTTTATATCGTTCGCTGCTTGGGAAAAGTCGTCAATTTACTTCCCGTAGCTCCACATAAGACGAACTGTCTCATATCTTCATCGACATAGACTCGGAATCTTACAGCAAATTTTGCCTCAGTGAAGTCTTTGAACATTCTAAAAACTTAGAATTCAAGACCCAACTTTTATTTCGCCAGTATAAAATTATTTACAATTTTTTTGCAAATAATTTATGGAGGAAACAGAATCATCGACTACGTTTTGGCGGGTAAATTTTTCCTAGGGACCGGCGTGGTGCGCCACCTAGCGGCAGCGAGCGCTACTACTTTTACTACGCTTACTACGGGAGGCGGAGTCTCGTCGAGCGCGGGTGAACGCACTTTAGCCTGTCCGTACAAACGAACGCACTAACGCTCCACGCTTGCTCCTGTTTAGCTCCCTCATGTAAGTGCGCGAGCGAGACACACGTCTTATAGGAGCGTACGTACATGACGCACGCTTGTGTCGTGCTGCGTATGAGGAAGCTTGGGAAAGTGCGGCGGGCGTCTGGGTCTCGCCTCAGGCTGGCTTCTTCCAGTCCTGTCTTCTCATGTGCAGGTTGCGGTTTTAACAAAATTAGTGGAGGGTTTCTGTTTTTTTTATCGTATCGTAAATCAGCAATAAGTTAGGCATATAAATATCATTGCATTGTATATATACAGTATGCACATGTATAGATCCTGATGCGATCCAAATTTCTTGCTTTCAATTATCAATTTTTTCAGTTGCCTACATCATGTGTTTTCTCACACCGTTGCACCTTCAAGAATCATCGAGGTATTATACAATTATATTCCAGTAACAGCTCTTCTTTCTTTGTCCAGGTGCATCATATTCAGCTCTTCCCGACCTGGTCGTGAGTCAGAGCCTGGCCACGTCACCGCCCGTCCAACAGACGCGCACCTTCGTCTTCCCGTCCGAGTGGACTGACACGTGGACGACAACTTCCACGTCCACACAAACAACTCCGTCCTTAACGAGAACGCCTTCACACGTCCTCCAGTCCACCACCAGTTTAGAGTCACCTGCTACACGGTTTACGTCATCTACCATATTTATTCTACCTTCAACTCCTGCGTCTACCAGTCCATCAACTTCTAGAACCGAGAGTGTTTCTAGACTAACCGAGTCTACTCAAGACATTGATCGGGTTGGGCCTTTGGATTCCAGTGGCAGTGCCCTCAAGCAGCGCAGGTCAAAATCTTTCGGCTATACTCCTGCATTTGAATCGAACATTTACTCCGATCCTGGGGACACGGAATCCCCTAAAGCAGACACACTTGCAACGGAAACTCAATCATCAGAAACATCGAACATTGGACCTTCAGCGCTGATAATTGCCAATCTTGTGCTTCCACGAGATTCAGATTTGTTTGAAGATACTGAATCAACCAACGGATCTTCTCGGCACGAACAAGGAGACGTTGAAGCTCAAAACTCTTTGCCTCGGTCACGAAATCGATCCTCTAGTAACTCCAGCAATGATTTTCTTGCAAATCATTGCGCCATAGCATACATTCCGCCTGCCAGTCTCGACGAAAGCTATGATGCGTCAAAAATTTCTCTAAATCTGAGTCACGTCATTGCGATCCAAGACAGACTCAAATCGGACCCATATTACGACTTGCCCAACCCCAACGCCACGATGGAAAATAAACAAAGCTCAACCCAGAATCAGCTGTTTGAAACACTATCTCCTTTAGAATTAAATCGGCGGCTTTTTGATCGCTTCGAATCGGAAAACCAACTTGACTCGGCCGTGACATATCGACATGGAGCTCCTTCCAGACGATTATTGAATGATCGCAATCAGTTGCGATTGTCATGGGAACTACCGCCCTCACCTCCGCCTGCCGTACCACTGCCCCACAAGTCACCTCAGCCCTTGAAAATTCCCCTCGAGTTTTGCTGTGAAAGAAGTACATGCGAGGACCCAACACGCGAGTCGATCATGCGGTCTTGTGGCGAAGATCTGAGGGGCATCGCCGACCAGTTCGAGGAATCACGACGAGAGGTGAGAAAAATGTTATTATTGTACAGATACAATATGGAAATAGAATTCAATAACGTTAATTGCTGCTAATATTAAGCCCAACAAATTAATTTTATCACTAATCAAGTCTGTTACTTGACGCCAAAACCCGTTCTTCGTAATAATATCATCGACCAACGACACAACGGAGGATACATACATCGCGCCAGATAATCTTACGTCGCAAAAAGTAGACCGCCACCTGCTCCTTCTCTGGTCTTGCGGCTCCAAAAAAAGCGAGATCCGTGAACAACCGCGAAGATCCACCACGCGTTAGCAATTATATTACCAGCCACTGGCCATTACGGCGCTCGTTAAAAGAATAGTCACATGACTACATCATGGACGAGCTAACGCTTGGTGGCCCAGGATCGATTTGGCGGGATCTCATATTACCAAACAAACCAAGGATGCTAATTCGGTGTCGCTTGATTAAGCAAATTCCTCTCAACAAATCCAGAAATGTTGCAAGATCCCATTTCGAACTTTATGAAACTGACAAAGTTTTTGATAAATGATGTAGCAAGATCCCATTCCGAACTTTCTGAAATTGACAACGTTTTTGATAGATGATGCAGAGTTTATTTTAGTTAATATCTCATTTATTTTGCTAAGTTTCCTCTTCAATTGAGGTTACCGGAAAGATTTACAATCAAATCAGGAGTCACGCACTCATGTGCATGTTGGGCTCACATCACGCGCACGTGTGCCGCAAGTATAGCCTTTTACTGCTCACGGGCCACCATTAGGTGGATAGATCACGTAGCGATGGCTGAGCTAAATGATTTTAAGACGCATTTATCACCCCATAATATGAGAAAGGGTTTCGTAGTCGGTGCCATCTGTTTACTTTTGATCGGTCGCCCCCGGCTGTCTATTCTATACGAGGATTAATCAACCCTCGCGTCTTCTTCTTATTGAGTTAATCGGGTACCCGCGGTCGCTATCCCACCCAATCACTAATATTGGATAATAGTCTCTGCGATGGCTTCATTTCTACAACTATTTTCCTTCACATATCCGAGCATATGATGAAATTCTTATTTAAAAAATACAATGTATAATATTAGGCAATATTTGCACATGTAATAAATCCTATGATAAAATTTGAAAAAAACAAAGAAAAAACTTGCATAATTGTTCCAATTTGTCCTCATTTGTGTATTTATCACAGAAATAAATACATGTCAGATGAATAGATTCATCGTCTATGTCATACATTTAACTCACAGAAAACCTATCAAATTTTCCATAAAATGCTTCCAACATTTCAGCTGAAGAAAAAAAACAATCTTTGAAATAAAAATCCTACGAACCGTTGTGCATATCCACCATTGATCCAATCGCGCGTAAGATAGGCTTGCATTTGAGTGGCGTATAGCAGCGCAGCCAACGCAATGAAGTGGTATCAGATAAGGGTTTGCCCTGAGCAGCTACTTGGAGGTCTTAGTGTCAGCGTCGCTTATCCTCATATTTACGGCTGAGTTCAGGCTAAACACGTGCAAAAGATCAATAAGGTTCTGGCTCCGCGAACCAGTAATTAGAAGAGCTTTTCTGATCCAAGGGTCGCTGTGCATGGCTGGAGTTGTTGTTGCGGCAGTGAAATTTAAACTTTGGCGCTTGTATGCCTTAAATATTTATGATATTTTATCATTTATTATTGATCAAATTGTGATACGTTCGGGCTTGCGATACACACGTAAAATTAAATTATTTCTGCTGCCTGTTGTGAAATGAAATTGTAGGCTTGCGTGGCGGCCGTTTCCTGTCTCCATTGATATCGATTGTTCACATTTTTAGCAGCGACAGCAGCGGCAGAATTATGTTACGTTGACCGCAGACCAATTACAAGTCTGTTGATGCGCGCCAAGCGAGTGTCAAGGCAGCGTATAAGTTATGTCGTAAGTTTACGACTATTGAGGGAAACAGACGTGCAGTGACCCTGTTCTCCCTCCGGTTACGACACGAGATCACAAATCATCCTAGCAATGGTTGCTCTTTGACCGGGCAAACGTCGGTGTTATCGACCACGGATGAGTTAGTTGCTTAACTACTGCCCTTAACCTTGTCATCTGCCGCCAGTAGGACACGGTCATATCCTGCTACTAATTAGCTTGCAAATAATTCATTTGTGTTGGAGTGCAACATGCTTGTTTTTACATAACAAAACCTACGTTTTCTGAGTATGTGCGCTGTACTTGCCAATAGGATACGCAGAGGCTCATATAATAGAGCTTGTAACAATGGAAGTTGTATTAGATTTAAATGTAAATTTTATATTGAATAAGTCGCTGTGCATTCATGAACAATTCCTCATTGAAAAAGATCCTAGCATGCTCTTCAAATGTTTGAATTTACTTTTGAAATCTCATAAATTTCGTCAATTTCGTGTAGACTTGTCAATCTATATTCATGTTATTTATTTGTTTACAGTATCAACCACAGGCTTAAAGTATTTTTTCTTTACTTCCAGAACTCTGGCAGGACTGACGTCGCTAGTGTTCTCTCGGAGGCGCTACTGAACAACCGCGAAGTCGGTAAATGTGTGGCCATATCAATCCTTGCTGTCGTCTGCGTGACACTGGGCTCGAAATTCATGGCAAGCCACTTTCGGTGATCGATAATTTACAGTCCAAGCATTCGAAAGCGACGCTCACGGAAATTTATACCGAAATTGTTCTGATTATTAATTAAGGAAAAACAATGATTATAAGAAAACTCAGTTTATCGACTTAGCTTTGGAAAGCGGTGAACCAATTGTTGGTTTTCTCGTTTATGACCTGTAATGATGGAGAAATATAGTGAGGTCGAATTAATGATAACCCATGCATGGTTTCGCTTCCACTTCGGTGGCTTCAACCGATTCTTCAATGAGCCATCAACGAGAGACCGATTCTTATCAAAATACTAATAACCAATCTCAATCGAGTCCGAAAATGAAAATCCTAGAGCGCGATTATCGTTTTCAAATGTTTGATTTGTTCTAGGAAGTTACGGTGGCATTGAATTGAAGCGAAGCAAAAGACAACATTAGAGTGAAAGTTAGTTTGGGAATTATGTTTTAATTTTAGTTCTTTCTATGTTGGGGGTATAAACCTAAATCTAAGTCTCATTAAGGCATTAAAAATTTAGTTTATTTGTTTTTCGCTTCAACTTAGTCGTTGGCATTGTTTTTTCTTTAAGTTATCTGTCGTGAGTTACTGTTAAAAATTTGTATTTTGTTGCTTAGCAATGACCAGTTCACTCGGTCTGCTCATACAGTTTGCTTCTCTGTGAACGTTTGCTCATCTTTATAGTTCGTTTACTATTGATCTCAAAGTCTCGTCACTGACTAGGTTCATAAGTTACAGACGAAATAGTTTCAAGTTGGTACAGAAATATACGATGTGTTAATCATATGTACATCATTGTCTTTAAATTATCTCAAAATTATAAGTAATTTTGCTTCACTGTATTTAATTTCGATCAAATTTTCATTAAGGTGATGGACCAAATAGACCGGGCATTATTTTTGCCCTCTAGTATATTTTCACTGAACTAACTTAAAAATCGTATAGCAAGTACCAACTGTGAACAAATTTCTTCCCCTCACCAAATGATAGCAATTGCACAAACCAATAATATTTCAAAGATTGTATCTTTATTGAACAGTTTGTAAATAATGCTTCTACTTATTTTATTGTGATACTTTTAAACGTTTTGTATTTATGTTGATAAAGTCGGTCTTGCTTCATTTCTGTTCGTGTCTAGAGTTATTATTGATGTGGAATGGGTTTCCATTAATCAATTTTGACTTGTGCTTGGCCATTTTTGAAGTTGAGATCTCGCTCGTAATTAAAAGATTATTTTTAAAGAGCCCACAGACTTCCACTCCTTCCCTTTATTGCTCGGGTTTAGTAATGTATAAACCTGTACAAGTGTAACTGCCATATCACCAATGCAGGCTGGTTAAGAGCAACGAAGAAAGGAAGGTTGTGCGAGGTGTGGCTCGAGGTGTGCTTTCCCTTGATCTCTTCAGGATAGAAAATTAGCTCGTCTTTACCACGAAGAACGAACGCTTAGCATTAGCATCATTCTGCCAACTACTTCTTTCATTTTCAAAATGTAAACACGATTTTTTTCTTCTCGCAAGCATAATTTCTGTAAAGCATCATGGGAGGTCAGTAAATAGTAGATGACCCGCGCATATCAATTGTTGAGTATTTTTCTGTTGAACATATCGCGCTCTAGTTCCTTTTCGTGCAGTATTGATCGTCAAGATAGTTGTGATTTTCGTCGAGAAAGACGCTGATGCTCAATTTAGTTTACTTTCCGTAATAAATGGATTTCATTTAAGAGGCCATTATTCATCATCTATACATTGGTTTCTGAATCATCAGGAACAACACCAATGTATGGAATTCAACATTTTTCCGTTTATTTAATTGTAAAAATTAATCCGGTACTAAAATATCTTTAGCACATCATTATCAACTGTATCTAAACATGTATCTAAATTTCCATTGATTTCTGAAAAACCACAATTGGCTATTGTGCTGCAAAATCTCGATCTAAATTACCAATATTTTTTTAAAACCGTATTAAACAGGAAGCGATAGGCAATTTATCGATTATACTTAAAATGCTTGGTATTACCGGCTTGTTACCCTGTAAAAAATAATTGGAGAAACCGCCGTACATTTCAAGTGTTGTCACTACCTGAAATGTCTTTCATGCTAGCTTACTATGAAATACGTAAGTTGATATTTGTCATTAGATTCATGAAGTAAGTTTGAATTAGTAATTTTTAGTCTCCTTTGTAAGACTTAAGTAAGGTTCAGTAAGCGTCGTAAAGACATGAAGAAATCAAGTTATTTGGCCCAACTTCCCAACGAATCTAGGCGTTCAAGTTTAATGCTGAAGCTTTTGCAGTCCGATCTGTTATCAATTTTGATTGATTATTCGTCTTTATTTTAAATGAAATCTCAATGTAAACTGTATAATCTCACTCAAAAAATGTGGTCGTGTTTATGAATAATCTATATGCCGATAAAACTTTACAGCACATTATGAAAAATGAGATTATATAGTGAGATTAGGATTCACGGGAAATATCCAGGTCTAATTTATATAATTTGTTTGGTCCTAGTTATTTCACTAAGATTTTTGAAATGGTCACTAAGAGTAGATTTAATCGATTTCATTCTTTAATATTGCGTACCTCAGCCACTGCTAGCTCGGCCTTATTCTGTACAGTAAACCTGGATTGTGCTTTGTTGAATCCATATAGTTTCTTAATAGGAAATAATTAAGTAATTTTATTTATTTTCAAATTGATCTCTTAATATTAAGCCCATTTAAATCTTTTCCATGTGGACGAGATATTCGAAATTAAAACGACTCTTCTAAATTACTGTATTTTAATCGATTTACAATGTTAGCTCTCGTGCAGCTGCCATCTTAATTAACAACGTTCATCTGGATTTGTTCCCGAATATCCATGATATTTCGTCATTAAAAAGCAACATGAACCATATTATAAGAGCACTGTAATCAAAACAATTTAAAGATCGGCTATGTTCTTGCAAAGAGTCTCGAGTTCAGGGTCTCAAATTTCGTATGAATGGTGTACTGTATAGTAGTTCTTGTTGTACAGCGATTTTGTTTGCATTTTTTGTGTACAGTGTCGACAGCCAATTATCTAAGTCAATATGAGTGTTAGTTTTATAAGTCAAGATTTTTATACTCGTATATTCACTAACGAGCTGATGACTGCCGAGCGACTGTTTGCACTGCATGGGTATTGGCTTCCTGTTGATATTTGTATTGAAATGATATTTGGAATACTCAAAATTTTGAAAACGTATTTTCTTCAATGCAGCTGCGGGTTTTTGGTATCTTTAATTTGCCTCTGTTAACACTTAGCTTTATAAGTATTTCTTTCATAGTCAATACTTTCATGAAGGACGATATGTGTCGAGCCTTTTTTTTCCAAATAGCACAAAAATTTACTAAAATTATTTTCAGAGATGTCACTGGAATTTTACTCACTCAAGTCAGGATCCATTTTGTGTGTCCAAATTTTCTTGTGGCAAAATAATTTCTTCGAGGCATCTAATTTTTTTCTAGGCAAATTAATTTGTTCTAGGTAAACTAATTTCTTCGAGGCAACTTTTTGGCGATTTCGAGTTGTTTAGTTTGGTATCCCCTAAATTGTGCGTGCTCAGCTACTGGTCAGTCGATCAGCTCGTCCTCATCGAAGCGATGGTCGTGATATGCTTCATGTAACTCTGTAATTTGGTTTGCTGATTATTCTTCCTACCTATACTGCATTTATTTCTCTGAATACCTTCGCTCAACTATCACATTCTCCGTATAAAGAATTGAATTGTTTAGATTTCGTGACGCTATCGAAAATTAACGCATATATTTTTCACAACTAGCACCTCTATCTTTTCACTGTCGTATTTATACGTCCGTCAGCCAGCAACAACGAAGACGCCGAATTTTTTGTGGATTCCGTCATCGTCATATTTATTGCTTCCAGAGTCGTGTCAATGTTACCTTCCATTCAAGGGGCCAATGATATTATTCCTAATTTCAGTACAATCATACTCTCCATTTTACAAACAACTGAAGCTCTCTCGGTAACTCAGAAAACTGTATGGGTATTATTGTCCAAATAGTCTAGCACTTTCTGTACGTACCGTCGATAATCTCTTCTTTTTTTTCGTCGGACTGGGTCAGGTTGATCCTCAGAAAGGGAAAAATGCGTCGCTATTTTGTCATGTCCCACTCATGTCTCTGTGGGTTGTTACAGCTACATGTGCCATTACCTTGCAGCTTGGCTTTATTTTCACTCCTGTCAAGTATTTGAAGGCATCTTGTTCGCACTGCACATTATTCTTTAGGTTCCAGAACTGGAGTTGCCAAACCAAGAACTTGTTGAGGATTTTACCAGATACTTTCCTCGCCCACGCAATGCAACGAGAGCCGACGCTGATGAGTTCTAAATCAGTCAATGATCTATTTGCAATGTTCTATTCAAACATTCCGCTCATTATATATTTATTTATCGACGACGATTTGGTTGCTTTATTTATCCAAGGGTTGCTAGAAGTTCCTATTTTATAATGGAAATATATGTTTTTAAGCGAAAAATAAATTCTGTTCAGTTGCTGTTCAAATATTTTAGTAATCAATATTGCAACAGGCATTGCTCGTAAGGATTGTCGAAGCCACGATGTGTCTTTGTGCATTTTGTGTCGGTTTCCATACATCGTGTCTTGCGTCTTGTGTTTGTGCCTTTATTTTGAATGGTTTAGTGGTTTATGTGTATAAAATCGAACACGTGCCTTGGAAGGTCTTTCATAAAATGACTCATTGCGACTTGTGAATGACATTCAGATGACTTGACAAACTAGAACGTTTTCTTCTTGATTCTTTTTATTGACTTTTCCTGTGCATAAGATTTTCCTCCATATATTAGATTATTTCTTGAATTGTATTCTATATTTTCCCCCTTTGTTTCAAGCAAACCAAAGCGAGGTTGCTCTTCCGGAGCTGGATTAACTTATAAGGTTGTTTAGTTAAATATTGATAGGAATTTCCAGATCTTTTGGGACCATTGACGCGTAGCTTTTACTCACCAAGTTATTCACATGGTAATCTTAAAAAATCTGACTCGCACTCTTTGCAAAATTATAAATCAGAAATATTTCAAACTTCTAATTGCACTTTTCGGCGAGGGTAGAGGTTGAAATTTTATTAATCCGTAAGTCCGAATTACAATATGTGTAATGTTTTTTAGCGAGGTTAATTTAATGTGAATGCTTGATGCTTCCGCGTTGGAAATTTAAGGGATGTTATTTGTTGTTGATACCGTGACTGGTGTTTAGCAACCATAGATTTCTTTTTAGATTTCCAACGTGAGAACGTGACAAATTGCTCGCTAATAATCCTCATCAGGTCTGACTTTCTTTATGTAGATATGTTATCCGTATGCTTGATTAATTTAAAGACGCACCGAATGGAAATATCTTCAGTTCGATCGCTCTCACTACCCATGTTCTTTCAATATTTTGTACATAGCCGATAAAGAAATTTATTATTGTAGTTATTGTACACAGAAAGAATATTTCATCAATAAACTTAATTGACTGTTTACCGAATGTTTTTAAGTGACCGCTTCAATTCTGATCGCATGAAATGCAGTGGCCGCTCTAACGATAGCAGTTTACAGTGAAAGAAGCTCCACGGAAAATGGCTGTTTAGGTTAATGGAATTGAAGTTTTCGATTTCTTAGTGAGAGCATAGAAATTAATGAATAATAAATATATTTTCTCTACATTAAGGTTTGAAATTTTGCACTCCTGGATAAATGATAAATATAAATTGACAATAACATCTGTCTTTTTTGTGCAACCTTAACGTAATTTTTAAGATTCAACAAAATTATAAATAGAATGGCAAAACTATAAACTGGACAAGACTTTAACTGAAGGTGGATATTGTATACAATTTGAACCTACAGAGAAGGTATATGATCGCTTACGAATACTCGCTATGCTTCAAGGAAATAAAGGAACCACGTACTGAATAATGCTCAAAGCATTATTTATTTGGGCAATGGGGTTTGGATATACGATTCTGTCGGAACTATTACATGGAAGAAATTTAATTCAGAATTAAAGAAGTGCTAACAAAATACCCGTTAATAAACGTACGTCTCAGAGTAGGGCATGATTAGAAAATGAAATAGACCCATTCTCGGGATTTTATTGTAGATTGTATCGTAAAAACAGAAATTGCTACTCCGGAATTTCAAGTTTAAAAGGATATTGCAACAATGAAATATTATGATTTCTCACAATATCAATATCTATTCATGATATCCTTCAATATAGCAATGATTGCATTGTAGGTTTAAACGTTACGTAAGATCGAAGTGCTTGCTAGGGGCCATACTTTCAAAACTCGCTAAGTGAACGTAAGTACTTACGCACTATTTTCTTGTTTATGATTGGTGGATTTTGCTTGAAAGGCCTTCAATGATTGGCTGATGAACTTACGATCTCTTAACTTTTTTTTAAAGTATCGGCCCACAGGGCAAGATATCTAGGATAACATGCAGCGACCGAGTATGCGTGTTTGCTGGAGAAAAAATGCACATGCCTTGCAGAGAGCAGCTTGCAACGGCACGAAAAATCCGACATGTAATCTGGTTATGAGGTCACGCTATACTCTGGAAATACGGCTATGGTTTTCACGTCATGGTTAATACTATACGAAACAATATTGAACATAGCATATTTAACAATATCCATGGAGAAAATATATAGTGAACAAATGAGAGAAACAACGGAAAGATTTAGTGAGAGTGGAACGTGCCTAGTTCACTTGGTATCGTGTTTGATGTTTGTTTATGGAATCCGACGCAAACGAATCCGATTCCAGAAAGATCCGATTAAGAAGGAATCCGATGCAAATGAAACAATATTAATTATTGTTTATTAAAAAATTTGCAAATAATCAAATGAATGAATCAGTGACAATGAAACGTGTTAAGTTTATTTTGATAAAAATTAATAGGAGACGAAGGAACGAATTAAGGTCATCTTGTTTTCCGAATACATGCTTTGATTTGAAAGCTTGGTCGTCTTGTGTATACATTCCTTTCTCTTTTCTACATGGACGCAAAATATACATCTGCAAAATATGATCATCTATTGAAATCCCTGTAATAATTTGTCATAATACTTTCTGGTAACCATGAAACATTTGTGGACTCAATGAATTTAAAAGATAGACGTGAACGATTATGCATATGTCGACAGAATCAGTAGAATGTTTACTTCCTTCTTCTAACCGCGAAACGATTTAAATTCAGATTTGCGTGAAAACATTAAGAAAAAGTATGCAAAAATCAGAAAATACACAAACGAAAAAGAGGTATTCGAAGAAAGAAACATTAATAAATTATCCAGCCTCTCAGACACACAATAAATAATGTAAAATTCTTATGAAGGGAACACTTTTGTAAACGAGATCGTAAATGATGAATAACTTGAATAAACGTCACGAAATTCGAGCAGTTGTTATCCCGGCACCAGTTTCCCTATTTGAGTAAATCGTGTCTCAAATGAGGCATTAAATCCTACAACAAAGTGACGACAGAAGCACAAAGTCGATCGTACACTCGTCCTGCATGCGTCTCTCGACACTGATCGATCACTGAACGCGCCACTGTCATTAGCGCACGAAAAAAGCCTACAAATTAAGGGTATGTGTTTGGTCCCAAAAATGCAAACGGCATCAAAACATCAAGAAAAATACGTGGATCAATAGAACGTACGTTTTTTCTAGGGTTAAATGAATCTTAGCTGGACTTGATCACAAATGCCAGTGACTGACGATAATATAAGTGATAGTGATGCCTAATGCTCGCTAAACAAATGACTGGCTGGTCGCTAATTTTTATAGGTCAAATAATTTGTTTTTACAGGTCAAATAATTTGAATATATGTTATATTTTGCTTAAATAATTATGCAGAGAGGGTCTTGAAGTATTTGAAAGGTATTGATGTAACGAAATTAATCAAAGGGATTAAGGTATCTATATACTGTAGGTTATTGAAAGATATTGGTGGTATTGCGCTAGGTATCGTAAGATTTTAAATGAGTTGAGTTATCGGAAACAATTTAGGTAGTAAAGGTATTGAAGAATTGTAAGTTATAATGGTTAATGAGGTAGTAAGGTATTAAAGACATTAAGGTGTCAGCAGGTGTTGAGGTATTGAAAGTTAATTAGCTATGAAAAGTATAATAGGGGTATGAGCGTTGAAAATCCAGATTGTTCAAGCTTGTAGCGGAGCTTCAACATATTGCATCAGAATAGGACTGCTCCACCACAGTCTCCCGCCCCACATGCCCTGTCCTACAATATTTGCACCAAAATTGTACATATTTTGTGACGCAATAAACACGATATTTGTGACGAAAAACATGGCATTAATGATAATAGTACACATTAATAACTATCCTCCAAAGTCAGCACATGAAACTTTTACCAATTTTGTAATATATCTTAATAGAAATGGATAAATAATAAGAAATAGTCTCGATAATGCACTTAGAGGAAAAAAACTAAATGTATGATGAATGCCTTCAGCATGTCGCCACTGTGTTGACAAAGCCTTCAACTCCCTGCCACTTACACTTAACAGACATCAACAAGTGTAGCAGGTGTAGCAGGTGTAGCAGGTGTAGCAGGTGTAGCAGGTGTAGCAGGTGTAGCAGGTGTAGCAGGTGTGTTGGACACCTGCCGATACACTTGCTACGGACGGAGCTTCTCAGCAGCTGCATTGCAGTTTCCAGGTAAACGTCGGGGCAGCGCTGGCCACCTGTGGACGATGGTTGGCCGCCGATGCCTGTAGCTTAAAATTCAGGTCACGTGAATGCTCAAGATTTATATTGTCATAAAATGTCGAGTATTATAAATTCTTCTTCAATATTTAATTATGTGAGTTTTAATTTGCTAGAAATTCGCCGTTGTTCATTTATAAATCCATAAAATGTCGAGTATTATAAATTTTTCTTCAATATTTTTTTAGTATTTTATTCTCATAAATTTTGCCGTCGCTCGTTAGATGTGACAATGGATGTTAAGTGTCGGGCTGAGGTCAAGTTTAACATTTCATGCAGCATCAAAATTGTAGCATTCGTAGAAGAAAATTCGCATTCAGCAAAGTCAGAATTCGAAGTGAATGTTTTTTTTTTTGTCGTGGGAAATTCTCACTGTACTTAAACGTTACAGGGTAAAATAACTTCCCTATAAATATGAGTTAGGTATCTTGCGTTAGTAGTGATGAAATTAATTTTTTTACATCATGAATAAAAAAAAGTTATAGGTCAATCAATTTCCGGTAAATTAGGTCCATACAACATAAATGAATCCTCGTTCAGTCAGGAAAAGTCTTGGTGTATATATGTTCAATAAACTTTATTTCACCAGGTTTCATCCAAATTATCTTAAAAAAATTAGATCAGTACTCACTGCAGTGAGTGACAGAGAGCGCATTTTCTCATCCGCCCGTAAAGTCACGGACAGACGGAAGGACGGTCATGACAAGCACAAATAATAGCGTCTTTTTTCCATAAATAAGAAAATGCGCTAAAAATTACTGAATAATTTCAAGGCTTCGCCTGATGTTACGTCAGCCTTTATCGTTGGGAGTAACCTCAGGCTGCCTTGTGATCAAACGTTTGTCCACAGATTTTATTCGAGAAAAGTTCAGGGCACAACTGATACAACTGGTCCTTATACGTTTCCTTTCATTTGGCCTCCCCAAGAATTAAATTATCAAATGAAATGCTTATATTTCTTGAACTTTGTCCCAGTTTCTTCAAAGCTCCTTCAGTAGGTAACGGGTTCTTGAAGTTCTGATTGCATCGGACGTTGCGAAAGTTCTTTGAACAACAATAATAATAGTTATTATAGTTAACTTGAATTGTTTCAAGGTGCATGCGCACATTTTTCGGTCGATTACGTAGCTAAAATACGTAGACACCGAGTTTACTCTGGAGGCTCTATATTGTATCAAAGGCTCGTTTTGCCGAAACTACACGAATGTTTAAATAAGAATAAATGTTATTTGTATGTAGAAGTAGAAGCTGCTGGTGGCTGCGTGGGCAAAACGTTCGTGACAAGCTGAGCTTACAGACGTCGAACGATTTTATTGTGAGAAACTGCGAGTTCTCGTGTCGCCGGGTATAGAAAGCTTATCGTCGAATGATACCGCATTGAGCATAACAAAAAACATGCACCAACATGTTACCCTCTAGATTTTAAAGTATTTAGGAGACATGTTCGCGGGCAATAGGCGGTATAGATTACGTATTTTTCATTTCTAGATCATAGTTATAGAGGGATTTATGTTCAGGTAAATGTACCAAAAAAAAGCAAAAATTAACACGTTTGCTAAAAGGGTTGCTCGAACCAAAGGATGACTTTTACTCGTCCATTGTCTGTCTGTGTGCAGGCATGGAAATGCTCATATGCTAGGAACAGTCATTTGGTATGAAGAGCTTGGAGAAAAACGCATGCAAATCGCTTTATTTTTCGCCAACCACGTACAACAACAGTTCTTAGCGAACAATTTTCATAAGGTTTTCCATGCTTTATTCGAAAAGAGTGGTTATGTGAACAATGTTTTGAGGAGTGTGATTTATGAGAAAATTCACGAAGCAAGAGTGCTATATGCACTGTATTGGTATTTTTCATTCAGAAGCAACATATTGCTTAATGCGGTCTTCCGTACAAACGGTCTTCCGTACAAGCGATTTTTTTGCCGTAAAAGAAAAAT